CAAGAGCTCCAATACCAGCCAGGCAAATCAAAAACGAACGAGGGAGAAATGTTGACAACATAAAGATGGACTTGGCAACAAATCTCGAATGGGGATCCAATACCTTGGTAGAATTCAATGCAAACAAAACACAAGCATGCCGTTTCTCTAGAAAAACCGATCTAACCGTGCCCAACATAAGCTTTTCAGGAGTAACCATACCTTTGAAGACATCCATTCCGATGCTTGGTATTACTATCAGCAATAATTTTTCTTGGGAAAATCACGTGAGATCAATTGCTAAAAGTGCATCCCAAGAACTTGGTTTTCTATTTCGAGCCAGGACCTATTTCACTTTCAGTCAGCTGCTCATGATCTATAAGGCACATATTCGACCTGTCCTAGAGTACTGTTTCCATATTTGGAGTGCAGCACCCAAACATAGCCGAAACTGTTGGATTCTGTCCAAAAAAGGGCAATTCGTCTCGTGGGTGATGCCTCGCTCACAAACTCACTCATCACTTCTCTGGAACACCGTAGAAAAGTTGGCGATCTGGCTCTATTTTATAGATATTTTCATGGACGAAGATCTTCTGAAAAATCAACAATTGTTCCTTCCTTGGCAGTCCCCGCGAGATTAACCCGTCGAGTTTAGGCTTCGCACCCTTTCGTGGTCACTTTGAAGACCTGCAGAACATCTCTTTCCAAAGAAATTTAAGAAGAACACCAATTCCTACCTTATTTTCCTTGGTCCTCACGATGTTCTCTAAACATTACAGGATATCCATTTTCGTGAGAACCAGAACATAAAAAAAAACTTGTTAGGAAAATTAATATTGTTACGTTATTCGGGTGCGGAACGAACACGACACTATTTATTTTCGACCTGATTTATTTGAACTATAGAAACACTAATTTATAACGAACTTAGAACTACTATTTATGTAAAACGATTTATATCACGCGGTATATAACTGTCTCTCTGACACTCGCTGCTCGACTGACTGACGGCAGTTATTCGGCCGTTTATATATGAGATCACTTGGCAGGCTTTGGTTCGAGAACTTTCTCGAATGATCTTCCGTCTCCTTCTTTTTGTTCTAGAAGCTTCTTAGAACAAACCTATCTCTCTAATTGTTCCATCGATTGTTTCCAGAACATTCCAGAATCTTCAGTGACGTTATCTGTCACTGCGGCATATATTGAGTGTTCGGAAATATGCTAGTGCATGTAGGAACCATTGGGAGGTAGGAGAACGATCTGGGATGCGTGTTACAGGATGAGTGTTGTACTCCTGTCTTACTGATGATGTTTCTAAAGCCCCTCTAAGGGAAATTTCATTACAATATTTCTGATCTACTGTGCTCTCAGTGGACAGAATTTTCATAAAACAGGAAGCATTACTGAGGCTAATTTTCAATCTAGACTACAGAACGTCATGTAAAGAGATTTTATCTGATGGCATGTCATAATGACAACGTTATGTCACTCAATTTTGATGACATAAGGAAGCTCATTATGGGACTAAGTACCATAATGAATTCATTATGGGACTAAGTACCATAATGGATTCATTATGGTACTAAGTACCATGATGAAATTCTATAAGGAAAACATGTAATGGTTTGATCAAAAAAGTTTATTCGAAATGCATAACTATGTACAAAACTATTTATTATAAATGGTAAAAGAACAATTACTACAATTTGTAATATCAATATAATGGCAAAGCACAGCTCACTCACCTACTAATATTTGAAACTACACAATACTTACTCCTTTAAAAATAGTTGTCATTGTGACATGTCGAAAATGCAGTTTTTAATTTTTCGAAAATGTATTGATATAAATGCCATCAGATAAAATTTTGTATGTAATACGAATCATAAACAATCATTATGGCACACGCCGTGTTATCGGACTCGGCTACGCCTCGCCCGATAACATTCACGACTTGTACCATAATGATCGTCTTTATGATACTTATTACATAAATAACTATTTCGTCAAAATAAAATATTAACTGTTGCTTGCTTGTTCATTCTAAAAACATTGACGTATATCCATGGAAACAGAAGGCAACTAGAGTCGAGATCGGAAGTCCATGATTATCATACTAGGAATAACCATATGATCCTCACCCAAAAACACCATCACGCAAAGTATAGAAAGTCTCCTATGTTTGCCGGTATATAAAGACACTTCCCCTCCTAGTTTTTAAAAAACAGTTGAAAAAGTTTCTATCAGAAAAATGCTTCTACTGAGTAGATGAATTTATACTTGAAGTTGGTAATGTCAGATCACTGTCATTGTAACGTTTTTAGCATGTTGTTTACTTATATATTCTATTCTTACTTTTTTTAATATGTATTTGTTTGTTTTACAATGTGTGTCACGTGATATTTTTTTACTTGAAATTTTCTTTAATCTTTAATCTTATATACATATATACAGTGTGTCCCAAATTCGATCCTCACCATTGGGATCTCAGTAACTATGAGAGATAGAGAAACGGTTAAATTAGCAAAGTTGTAGCAAATTTAATGTTGAATCATAATCTATCGAGAAATCCGGGCTAGCTTCAGTCATTCTTGAGTTATTTGAGAAAAACTGAAATCTTGTATTTTTGTTTTTCTCGAATATCTCGGAACCTATTGATTTTATGAAGAAATGACTTCAACAATCTCATAGAACTTTTTAGTGCTCTTTTCAATGGTTTTGTCAGTTTTCCATCAAAATGTCAAATTTCTGAGATATCACCTACAACTTCAATTTTTCTTATGGACGCCATATTGGATTTTGACAGATTTGAAATCAGCATCAAATTTCCTTTCTAGTGATGTATCACACTCACCGTTTTGTTCTATTTGGGGTACTGATTTCCAATTTTTGTTTTTATGTCAAGTAGGCTATGAATTCTGTGTTCTATGTTCTTGCATAACTTATCGTATGGAATTGGATGTGTACTATTATAGCAGAAAAAAATTTAATAACAGTTGAATAATACAAATACTGAAAAAAAATCAATTGAACTGCTCGAAATGGCCCCCATTGTTCTCGATACATTTTAATATTCGCGAGCGAACATGATTCGCTGCTTTTCTCAGATGAACTATGTTGATGTTCTGGAATGTGTTCATCACCTTATCTCGTAGATCATCAATATCTTGAATTGGATCTTCATGAATTTTATTTTTGGCGTAGCCCCACAGGTAAAAGAGAGGCGTAAAGTCAGGCGACCTTGGAGGCCATCTCACAGGTCCATGGGTAGTAATTAATTTAGCACCAAATTGAATCTCGAGATATTCCCTAACCAATCGCGTATTGTGCGGTGGGGCACCATCTTGCTGAAACCACATTAACTCATATTCAGCAAGTGGTATCTCGTCTATAAAATTCGAAATTTCATTTCTCAATAGCTCTAAATAACCAAGACCATTCAAGTTATAATCGTAGATTATTGGACCTAGTAGTCTACTGCCTGAAAAAAATACACAATGAGAAACAGTTATTCATGGACCAAAATTCTAGTAAGGTACCAAATATCCCACACCAAACATTGAAACCAAATATGTTCTGCCACTTTGATTCTCTGATGACATGCGGATTATTTTGTGCCCAGTAATGATGATTATGTTTATTGTAAATTCCATTATTATGAAATCTCGTTTCATCGGTCCAGCAGATATTCAATGGAAAGTTCTCGATTCTTTCACACTGGTTATGGAACCAGTGACAAAACTCGAGACGACGTTCATTATCACCAGGTCTTAACCCTTGTACTATCACTGGTTTGAAAGGGTGGTACTTATCATTCACTAAATGTCTGTGGATTGTTGTTTTCGGCACAAGAGTTCTCCGACTAAGCTCTCGAATTGAAATGGTAGGAGTTTGATTGATGATTCCTTCGATATTTGCAATATCTTGTTCATCCAAGCGTAAACCATACCTTGGCCTAGGTGCAATGAAACTTCCATGCTCTTGCAAATTTCTTTGAAAAATAGAAGGATGCGGTTGTTGTCTTTCTGGATATAAATGGAAGTATTGTCTAGCTGTTTCTCTGTTATTTCGATTATTTCTGATATAACAATTGTACATATCAAATTTTTCGAGATTTGTGAACGGCATTGTTTGCCCCGAAATAATTGACTTGCATTTTTTCTTGACGTTTACAGAAATGTCACTTGGCTCACCTTTGCTCCAAGCCTACTCGATGAAAGTTGTGCCAGAACACATTATCGTTAATGTTTATAGAGAGCTTAGCGCATAGCCTACTGGACATAAAAACAAACATTGGAAATCAGTACCCCAAATAGAATAAAACTGTAAGTGTGATACATCACTAGAAAGGAAATTTGATGCTGATTTCAAATCTGTGAAAATCCAATATGGCGTCCATAAGAAAAATTGAAGTTGTAGGTGATATCTCAGAAATTTGACATTTTGACGGAAAACTGACAAAACCATTGAAAAGAGCACTAAAAAGTTCTATGAGATTGTTGAAGTCATTTCTTCATAAAATCAATAGGTTCCGAGATATTCGAGAAAAACAAAAATACAAGATTTCAGTTTTTCTCAAATAACTCAAGAATGACTGAAGCTAGCCCGAATTTCTTGATAGATTATGATTCAACATTAAATTTGCTACAACTTTGCTAATTTAACCGTTTCTCTATCTCTCATAGTTACTGAGATCCCAATGGTGAGGATCGAATTTGGGACACACTGTATTATACCTGACAAATATGACCTGTCCCATCTACATAATGTAGCACAAAGGACTAATTAATCTATCTATCTATCTATCTATCTTTCTTTTTTCAGAATGAGCGAAACTTTACTTTTATAATATATTCATTGTAATGTTAAAATCAAATTGATATATGTTACAACCCACGCACAGGTATATCCTTCTGTGGGAATTCTATATTTATTTATCGTTACCTAAAATTATTGTAATTGTAATTTTCGATTCGAATGGTGAATAAATATTATTATTATTATTATTATTATTATCTCACCTGATCCGGCCTCAAGCCGGGCGGCACCCACGTGTACTCCTCCAACGCGCAGCCGCTGTCGTCGTCGCTCTGCGAATGCCGCTGCGGATCACAGGAGGCGGGTGCGAACGGCGAGCCCTTGCCGAGGAAGCGGTCGAGGGCGGGGTCGAGGGCGGGCAGCTTGCCGCCCCCGGGCGACGGCAGGGCGGCGGGGGAGGCGCCCGGGCCGCCCAGACCGCCCTCCGTCGACATGACGCTGGCGGGCGGATCGGCGTACGGGTAATTGCGGCACACGGTCCTGGAAAGGAAGAAGAATCAATGAAATATTTCGTTGAACCATTATTTTACCTGATTTTAAGCAAGAACATCAAAACAATCAGAAATGGCGTATTGGATATACAGTATCATTCATAAAGTCGGCATCATATGGGAAAAACTTTTATTAATGACTTATTTTGGAATTCGAGTTGGACGTTGAGTTTTGCTCCAAAAAAGATAAAAAATTACCTACTCAATCGGGGTCACGTGACTTTCGCTACATGTCGAAAGTGGCATTTTTTCAAATTAATCGCTGAAAGTAGGCTTATTTGTTCGAATATCGAAAAAGTTTACTTGAAACAGTTGTTTCTATTTCAATTTTACACATGCTTCCCGAATTTGATCTTCCTATTGCAACTTTTAGATTTTGATTTTTTTTTAAATTTTTCGAAATTTCTGTAATATTTGAAGAATTGTTAATTCCACGTTACTACTTCACACCAGTAGCTTCTTCATGCTACTTCCTTTCAATTACTTATTATCACTGATTATGGACAGAAATATGATTTTCTTCAGAAAATGATAATACCCGCTTCCAAATTCTGTTATGTTTGATGCAAACTTGATATATCGTCAAGCATTTAGAAACGAAATCCATTTAAACTGATCTTTCCAGTACTGAAAAAATTTTCTAAATGCTTGACTCAAACATAACAGAATTTTGATGTTATGTTTGCATCAAACATAACAGAATTTTGAAGCGGAGATTATCATTTTCTGAAGAAAATCATATTTTTGTCGATAATTAGTGATAATTAGTAATTGAAAGTTAGTAGCATGATGAAGCTACTGGTATGAAGTAGTTTTATCGAATTTACAATTTTTTCTATATTACAGGAATTTTGAAATTTTTTAAAAAATATCTAAATCTAAAAAATGTAATAGGAAGATAAAATTCGAGTCACATTTGTGAAATTTAAATAGAAACAACTTTTCCAGGTAAATTTTCAGCGATTAATTTGAAAAAATGTCACTTTTGACATGTAGCGAAAGTCACGTGACCCCGATTGAGTAGGCCATTTTTCATCTTTTTTTAAGCAAAACTTAACGTCCAACTCGAATTTCAAAATAAGTCATTAATAAAAGTTTTTCCCATATGATGCCGACTTTATGAATGACACTGTATACAGGGTGAGTCATGAGGAACTGTACATGCTCCTACTGCGAATAGAGGCACCTGAGGGGAATACCAAATGACTATCAGAAAGTGTCTCCGCCCCTTCTAAAATAATCTATAGGGTGATTTATGGGATATGGCCAAAACTTCTTTCAATCATAACTTTCCAACAGGTCTCTCGATTTCTTTTATTTTCTCATGGATTATCATGCTGTCACTCAGCAATCAACTGACGTATTCAGATACGTGAAAATCCAGGACCGGTCTTGAGAAATTCTGCCAATTTGGTTCATATCAAAAATTTCACCCTGTATAAGGTTTCAGTAAACTGTGATATGGAATTTTTAGAGATGATGAACAGGCTACCAGAATGAAGTATTTAAAATTTCCCTCACACTTTCATTAAATGTCTCAGAAAATGATTAATTCATACTTCACGCGAAACTTTGGCAACAAATGTATTAATTTGAAAATTAATACAATAATTAGTATTAGATTAGTAGAGAGTAATAATCACCGAAAGTTTCCCCCTGTGTATGTATTTAGTAACCTGTGACACAGTTTAAGGCAGAGTTTCACCGAATTTCATAGAGTACAATGAATTTCCACTCACGCGAAACTTTGGCAAAAAATGTATTACTTAATTTGAAAATTAATACTTCGCGACGCTAGAATTTCACGAATAGAAGCAAGAATAACATCATTTCCTATTCTTCAGCTAACTGAAAATCCACATTCTTCTATATATCCAGGGTTGGATTCAGTAATTTCTTGGTAGCCGGGAACATTTTTAGTCACACTGTATGATTTTATCATAATGAAATGTGCAAATTTTGAGAATCATTGACGCAAAAATCTTTCACAAAATTCGAATCAAAAATTTTCCAGGCAATTTCTTTCAACAACTGAAATCTAGAATATTCAGAAATACTCAGAATCTCTATTACAAATCGATTAAAAACCTCATCAGAATATGTAAATGATTCAAGCTATAACATTCGTCCATCACATTACCTACTATAACATCATACATGATGGTTATCACTTTCCACAAAAAAAAGAAATACAACCCTGGAAATTATAGTCATGTTAATTATCATTGAGATTAGGAATTGGGATTGATGTGAAACTTGCTTTTATACGTGAATTTAAAGCGTATATAGCGAAGTATTTATTTTGAAATTAATTGGTATTGGTATTTTTGTGGCTCTATAGAAACACTAGAATACAATAGGAGATAGCAACTGTGGCAGAAAATTGCCATAAATTATTCTCAACACACATTCTGAGCTATTGTTACGTTGAAAAAAAAAAGAATTTTAAAATCACATTTCAATTTTGTGCAACCTTTAAACGTATGAAAAACGAACATTTGACTAGTACGCTGATTTCCTCTTTTCATCAGCTTTCTAACAACGGGTCACAAGCCATAGGGTTATATTTAGAAAAATCATGTTGAAGGTGGTTTCAGCTATTTCAGCTATTCTTGATATTGCTTTCAGAAGATAGATAAAAACATTAAATCGTTGACGTATGCTATGAATTTTTAGAAAAAATAGTCACCTCCCTGCTAACGAATTTATTTCAATTAAAGGCTTCACACTGTATGAAATTCTCCTGTCCCTGTCACGTTGTTTGTTGTCAAACTCCTACGGAACGGTTTGACCGATTCTTATGAATTGGTTCGTGGGGTAGGCGATTATGATTCTTTCATCAACATTTCGAAATTCAAGATGTCGGATCGAATATATCAGATGAGTTTTGTAATTATGATCCGATTTTATTCAAAATTGATATCTGGAGATTTTCGGGGTCGGAGATTAGGATTCTTCCGTCTATGTATATTTGCAAAATTCCAGTAACCCTTATCCACCCCTCGAATATCGTCTCAATATCACTTGAAAGTATTTTGTTTGTCGAAATAATGCATGTCCTTTGCATCATATGATTATAGTTATCAATATCAAAGGAAAATATCATTGGAGCCATTTAGAAGACAGATGTTTAATATTTCTGATTCATAGTCACGACTCTATTATACAGGGTGGTAAAAACATCTTTTTTCTACAAATGTCAGTAAAAGTAGAATCTTTGACGCATGCTGTTAGTGTCTAAAATGTCAGTTTATGACACTGGTGTTGAAAGTAAATCACTTTCAGCACTAGTGTTAAAAGTGATTGATTTTTATGAGAAAATATGTAAACATAATTCAAAATGAAGTGTTTATTCGATTGAAAGTACAATTAGCGAAACTACAATTATAATACGAAACTCCATGGCCAGTCTCATTGGTAGATGTGACAGAATTTATTTTCGTGAAGCTTGTACCAGGGCAGAGAACAATATTATCTGCCGAAGTTTTCGACAAAATTTGATCTGCAATGTTCTGTTTCCTTTGTAGCGAGTCTTCTATATAACCCTCTGCTACTGTACTGGACTTCCATCTACCATGTATTTTAATTGTAGTAAGACTAGCACCAGAGTCCGCCAACAAACTAGCTGAGGAACGTCGGAAACAATGTCCAGTTTATAGATGGGAATCAGGCAAATTAAGAAATTCGGCAATTTTGGCAGGCATCTTACCAAATGTGTTGATTCCAACTGGAGTCCTGGCACATTTATTTTCAATGCATTTTATAAAAACTCTAGAATGATTGATATTCACTGGACGAAGGGCTATGTACTTTTTGTAGTAGTTCATATACAATGTACCACTTACAACAAAGGTGCGTTGCACATTAGTTTTTGTGTCTGGTATATGCACAACTAGTGAAGTTCCGGAATCCTCGTTATTATTTAATGTCAAATCGCACAGTTCGACATGCTCCAAATACACCAAAAATCGCAGCAACTTTTTGCATTAGATATATTTCATCTGGGGCTCCAGCGAGAAATTTGTCGATTTGTTCTCTTGTCAATACTTTTGACTCTTTCGGTCGATATCCTTCACCCTTTTGCTTAAAAAAAAGCCACAAGCTTGTGATATCTGCTTATGTCATGATCATTTATGACCATTCTCGAATTCAACATAGAGTAATTCGACCAAAGCGTTGACGATTTCCATATTTTGGACTTTTCTTCAAAGTATGCAGAAAGCACTTTTTCACTGGCCTCCTTTCCACTGACATTTTTCTGATCACACCATTTCAAGAAACGTTCGTATGAAAACTCGTACTGTCGCTCTGACTTACTAGGCAATAATTCAAAAACAGCTTTATTGGCAGCTTCTTCAATTTGCGGCGGAAGAAATTCATTTTCTTGAGCACTTTCCATCGAGGAACGAAGAAACGAGAAAGAATAATTCGTGATTTATTGACGTTATTTGTCAAGAAAGATAAATTAACAAATCAAATTTTTGTTTACCTTGGTAACTTGTTTCATGAATAGATTAGATTGAATTGGATTCAGAACTGATAATGTCGAGGCTGTTATTTAATCAATTAATAAGTAATGTGAAATAGTTATGCGTTAATTTGGACTTTTAATGGTGTTTGTAGAAAAAATAGTGCATGATATATGTGCTAAAAGTGTTTTTTTTTGTTCTCACAAAATAAAATGTCACATTTAGCACTTATATCATAAATAACTATTTTGGATCACTTTTTTAGCTACCATAAGACTCGGATAATCGGACTCTGAGGCACTATTGCCCCACCCTGTATATTATAATTATCAAATCATAATATTACATTCATACTTATTGTTAAATAGATGCGTAGGTACTTATCAAGAATATAAGCACTGATAGAGATATACACATTAAAGATATTACGGCATACCCAACTTGTTATTCTAGAGTACGGTTAAATTTTTCTTGAAATGCAGTTAATAATTCTCATCCGTTCCGACGTTATAATAAATGTAGTTTGTTGGAAAATTTTAATTGATTTCCTTTTCAAAGTCGCGCCAGTCGTCTGTCTATGAGAAGAAACAAATGGACTTTAGGCTTTTGTAAAAATCAGCCATAGTAAAATGATGATTACTGAGAAATATGTTTGGCCTTCTATAGATATATAGATGTTAAACTCGGCGTTCCCAAGATCATGGAGATGGGTCACCATGTATATTATGTTGAGGGGACTTTCATGTTGGATGAGGTATATTCCGCTGACTTTTATTCTGATTGAAAAATTATATTTATGTAAATTAAAGAGCTATTAAAAGGAATTGGATGAGAGAAACGCATAATATAAATCATTCAAAATTCCAACAAAGTTCATAATTTTATCGACCATTGAAAAATAAATAGATTCTTTCTAAAAATTTAATTCATTATGCACTGGTATGTTCACACTGCATTTATATATTTTTTTCTGGTTATTCATTTAGAACTACTATGAATAATGAACTAATTACAGCTAAGAATAATTTATTATATGCTTATACTTAATGTAAATGAACTTAGAGTACCTTTTATGGATATCATCATATTTTCCCATGATGGATTACATGAATGGATGCTCGAATATAATTATTCTATATACAGTGTGTCCCACTTACCATGCTCACCATGGGTATCTTTTTAACGGTAACAGATACGAGGTCGGTTAAATGACACCAAATGTGGAGTTTGTCACGGCCAACTATAATTTAAAAAAATATTTTGATAAAATCTATTCGTTTTTGTTTTATACGCAAAAAACAGATTTTGATCATTTTCATGTCTCCTCCGTAACTTCTTTATTTATGAAAATATTCAAATAGAAATTCCACATTCTCATGGCAGTTTTTTAAAGTGAATTCGAAAAAAATATGAAATTTATACCAACTCTTTTAGAATTTGAGCTATCAGCACCAACTTTAGTTTTTCAAATGTAGGTCATAGCTCACTATGACTTAGTTACAAATAACTTTTTTTTCTCTTACAGATGATATGTCGCAGTAATAGTTTCGTGTTGATAACAACGGAGTTATCGTCATTTATACAAAAAAAATAATTATTTGGAAGCCGCCATCTTGAATTTATGAATTTTAACAAAAAAATCATGATCTTCGACCTCGAAAACCCCCACTTACCAATTTTGGATGGAATCGGACCAAATCTTGTCCGCCATCAATTAAAAAAAATGGCTTCTCCAAGATGGCGGACAAGACTTGGTCCGATTTCATTCAAAATTGGTAAGTGGGGGTTTTTGAGGTCGGAGATCATGATTTTCTTGTTAAAATTTATAAATTCAAGATGGCGGCTTCCAAATAATTTTAGTTTTTGCATAAATGACGATAACTCCGTTGTTATCAATACAAAACTATTACTGCGACATATCATCTGTAAGAGAAAAAAAAGTTATTTGTAACTAAGTCATAGTGAGCTATGACCTACATTTAAAAAACTAAAGTTGGTGCTGATATCTCAAATTCTAGGAGAGTTGGCTGAATTCATAGCCGAGCGTAGCAATCTACTTTGCTGCCGAGTTGAACATATAATTTTTTCTCCGATTGTTCATAATGATATGGGAGAATATTGTATTTGCGAATTAATACAATTCCCACAATCTCTTTATTCTTCCTGTATAGTGTTCAATTAAAATAAAATTTGATAGAAATCGCAGTTGTTGGTTTGACAATTCATGAAATTTCTGACGCAGTTGTGCGAAAAAATATCGGTATATTCAAATTATTATATAATAGACAGTGATAGCGACCTGGAAGTATACTCACACCTTCATTAATAAGGGAGGTGGCAAAAAATATAGAGTTGAATTTGTTGCCGGAGAAGTCTCGGATGGAATATGAAGGAAATTATAAACGATTTATGGATTTTCAATTTTGCTGATACATATCAATCAGCAAAGTACCCACTTTGCTGCCTAGGCAGGAAAAGTAATACTTTGCTGATCGATATGTGTCAGCAAAATTGATATTTGCTGCCAATCGGAGGAAAAATCATTATTCAGACAATATATTTTCGATCATAAACGTAACACACGACGAAAAGAAGTATTTTGCTATCCTCAACATAAAACAACATTATATGAGAAAGGTTGTTTTTACAAATGTTCACAATATTATAACTTACTGCCAGATCATCTACAAAACTTGAACTTCATAGCTTTTAAACATATTGTTAGAAAAAAATTAGTTGCTGCTGAGCCCTACAAAATACATGAAATTTTACAATACCATTTTATGTAATCTCTCACTTATATTTACCAACTAATGGTGTATGTTGAATCGAGAAAGAATAAATTTTCAGTGTTTTCAATCGTAAATAGTGGCACTGTAGGTTTTTTCGGGTTTTCCTGCAGTTTCTATGAAAATGCGCCATTTTCAAAATCTGTAAGCCGCCCCGAAGCGCATCATTCTGAGAAACAAAATCATTGATAATTACAATCTCAAAATATTCTTTGTTTAACTTATTATTATGTATTAAGGAAGTTTGACTTGTACTATACAAAAATGTAATTTTTGTCGCTGGTATAAATAAATTCTATTCTATTGTATACCTATAGGTGAATACTGTCTCTGGGTTCGTCCTGTTTGTATTCCTGTTCGTGAAAATGAATAGGTACCTATAGAAAGTATGCAGCACGACGTGATGCTGTACTGATACGCTGGAAAGTAAGACATGGCAGCCAATTTCTTTCCAAGGAGATAGCTCGATTTCTAGTCATAAATATATCGTCGTGTATCTGTCATGTGTCCCAACTAGATAAGCGAACGGGTGAATGATTATTTTTAATTAGCTTAATTATTTCTATCGTCCGCGTAATTATACAATAATTCTTTGTCGAGGCTCGTATGATGCAGAGAGATGAGTCTTACGGTAATCGAGTCCATTTAAAAAAATTATCGCGAACGGTTAACTCGGACTGCATCGTATTTTCATGAAATCATGACTAAACGACAGATGAAATTTGTGTGACGGTTTATGATATGGGTTGGAAGGAAAATTTCCAGAAACTCACGGTACTGGAAAAAGTGTTGATTATTTCTGTGACCATTCTATGTATTGTTGTAGTACTACTATTTATTGGTTTTTTGACTACTCATGGTAAGTAAGAGACTTTCATATACCGTTTACATGGTGTTACATCAATATTGTGAAAAATGTCAAGGATAGATTTCTTAAAAAAAAAGTTCGAACCTAAATATATGAAAAGGAATATTCTCAGATATAATATAATTATGAAAAAAAAAAAATGGATAAATAAATTGAAAAATTAATTGAGAATTCGCATTCTCCATTTGATGGAAATATTAATTCTCTCTCGATTCATTCAACAGAAAACAACTACTTTCCTGGCTATACAGGGTGTCCCTAGACCAGTGGGACAGTTGAATATCTCCTGAACCAATAGGAATTTTCGAAATATTATAATTCCACATCATATCGCATTATGAGTGCTAACTTCAGGAATGACTATATTTTCTACGAGGGGCACAGGAAAGGCTCACAAAATCGAACATCAATTTTTTCAAATGGAACACCCTGCATTTCATTGCATTTTCATAATCACCTTGAAGAGCTGAATTCAACGACCTAGCACACTTGGGCTCTAGCGGAAATGATTTCCGAGATATAGGGTGTGAAAAATCGAGATTTTTCATTTTTGGGAATTTTTTGTGTCAAAACTATTCATTATTGGTCAAAACGGCTTACATGTCCATATCTCAACTTTTGATTTACTATTCACTCGTATTTAATTGAAACAAATACAGGGTGGTGTGGAATTCCGACTGAAACTGAGAATTTTACACCACCCTGTATTTGTTTCAATTAAATACGAGTGAATAGTAAATCAAAAGTTGAGACATGGACATGTAAGCCATTTTGACCAATAATGAATAGTTTTGACACAAAAAATTCCCAAAAATGAAAAATCTCGATTTTCCACACCCTATATCTCGGAAATCATTTCCGCTAGACCCCAAGTGTGCTAGGTCGTTGAATTCAGCTCTTCAAGGAGAATATGAAAATGCAATGAAATACAGGGTGTTCCATTTGGAAAAAATTGATGTTCGATTTTGTGAGCCTTCCTGGCGCCCCTCGTATAAAATATAGTCATTCCTGAAGTTAGCACTCATAATGCGATAAGATGTGGAATTATAATATTTTGAAAATTCCTATTGGTTCAGGAGATATTCAACTGTCCCACTGGTCTAGGGACACCCTGTATATGCCACGGCGAATATTGAATTACATCAATTGAAAATACACGATAAGAATTTGAACACAAAATCTTCTGAAGTAGAGAATTTGCATTCTCCTTCATATTAAGATATGCATATAGTATCATTCTGAATATTCAACAGATACATTTCAATGTTCGACGTGGCAAATAGTCAGGAAAGTAGTTGTTTTCTGTTGAATATTCATCAGAATGATATTATATGCAACGCCCTCGATACATAAATAGTTCTAATGTTGCAGATTACATTTTATTTTTTCTTGGAAAACAAAATATGAGGGGGATTTTCGAACTATTCAATTGTACAGGGTGGCATAGAAATAAGTGCAAATATTTCAAACACTGAGAAAGCTCGACGTATACTATCGAATGGCACTGTTGAAAAAAATGTTGGGATCAGAATAAAATTTGAGAGACCCCTTTTTTCACCCAAAGTTCTACACTGTAGCAAATCTGACGTCACCTCTGTTCAAATTTTCATGCGGTACGCACAATCACGCGGAGTTCAACCATTTAATTTTTTGTTTGTTTGAACTATTGTTTATTCAAGCAACATTTATTACAATACAATTCAACCAATGTAAAAAAATCTCCAATCAGTGCTTCAAACACTGGCCTCGAGATTAACAACATTTAAAATTAATACAGTGTTACAAGGGCAGTTAAGTAATGTTTATATAAACTTTCAATTTCCTAACAAAACTCTTATAATTATTCAAGTCTTTTATAAACTGAGGTAAATTATTGAATGTTTTGATTGCATCTACGATCGGATTTTTTAAACCTACATTTGTCCTTGTATATATTTGGTAGATGTTATTATGTGATCTTGTTTGGTAATCATGTACATCAAAGCAAAACTCAATGTCAATGTTACTTTTTTGTTGATCATTAAGTATTTTATAAACAAGTTTGCATTGTTCTATAACCAGAATTTCTTTTAATCGAATTAACTTCAATTCTGAATAAATTATATTCGTGCTAGTGAGCCAATCATACTTGAATAATATTTTAAGGGTTTTGTTTTGCAATTTCTGAACTTTATCGAAATTAACTTCTCCACACATTCCCCACACAGGCATAAGTTACCTGAAGTGTGTTGAGAAATAAGAATTATAAACTTGAAATTTAGTTTTCATAGACAGATAATCTCGACATCTATACAGGGCGGATAGCATTGCAACAATTTTCTCAGAAATTTTGGAAATGTGTGGAGACCAGTTCAAATTTTCATCTACAATTAATCCTAAATATTTCATACAGATTACTTTCTCTGAAGGTACACCATTTATGTTAGGTTGCAATTCGTCAATTTTTCTATTTTTCTGCTTAAATACAATATATTTGGTTTTATCAATATCAATTTTTAATTTATTTGAAAACAGCCATTTACGGTAAGCAATTAGATCATTATTTACTTGAGTATTGAGGGAGATTTCATCTGATCCTGCGTACAGCAGAACCGTATCATCTGCAAAGGTGAAATACTGATTGGCAAGTTTGAGGTTGAGTACATAGAGTGAGTACAACAGCGGACCAAGGACCGACCCCTGAGGTACCCCGTAAGCACTGGACATCCAATCACTATTGTATCTTGGAGTTTAACATATTGATTTATGTCAAGTAGATATGTTTTGATTAAGCTGTACATAATTTCCCCAAATCCCATTCTAGATAATTTACTCAACAGAATATCTATACTCACCACGTCAAAAGCTTTTTTCAAATCAATAAAAATTGCTATAACTACTTCTTTTCTATCCACAGCCCTTGAGATATAATCTATGAAGTCTGTAGTAGCACCAAGTGTGCTACTGTTTTTCATGAAACCATATTGAAATTTATCGGTCAATTGGTGGGTATCAATGAAAGATAACATTCTTTTCTTCATAATTTTTTCTGTCAGTTAAGAAAATACGCTCACTACCGAGATAGGTCTGTAATTGTTCATGAATTTTTTATCTCCCTAGTTGTTTTAAAGTGGCGTACTCATTTTGTTTAATTTTTAGGATGAAATTCCCCGTTAATTAGAAGAATTAGAAAAAATCTGATATCATGAGAATATTCCTCAGACTGTATCATATCGATGTGCTGAATATGTGCACTTATTTCATAAACACCTTGTATACCACTTGTTACCTGTTTCAGTGGCTTTGAGTTATCTTAAGCCGAGTCTGAGGTAGGTTCAATCATCAATCTCAATATACCTACTTACTGTTACGTCGACACCAAGGTCAATTTGAGAAGATTAGATTCAATCGAAAATGATCAAAATTTCAGTATGATTCACAGACCATTATAATTATATTCTCTGAAATCCACGTGCTGACCTTGCTCAGGTTAATTGATCATCTGGAACGTATCTGATTGTTTTTGGAGACAAATTTAGAAAACACTCGGGGCAGAATTTTAAGTTACTCTTCCACATATACGGGTGTCCGCCAAAAGAAGGTCAATCTATTAATCATATATTCCTTGAACAAAAACAATATGAGTTTCTGAATACGATATTTCATTTTAGCCCTTCATATTCGATATACAGGGTGTCAAAGTTGGAAATTAAGAACTGTTTTTTTCTAATTACTCGCGTATTTGATACATTACTTCAGCCAAAGAGTTACATCGTGTGAGGTAAACAAAACAGAAAATAACTGTCAAATATTCAAAATACTGGGGGTCAAGTACACACTTACCCCTATATTTTTTTGTACGTGCGCTAATGACTTCCTATCTATTGTTCTTCAACTGTTCAATCATTTTTGAGTTTTTTTTGTGTCTTGTAAAATTTCGATAATATTATTTGTTCTTAAGATAATTCGAAAAGTAGTGGTTATTGTTTGATGCCTTTGCGGCTTACGGTAATCTCATAATGTTCACATACTCCTATTTTTTTCGTCGTCGTCGAAGAGGGCGTAACTTTTCACGTACAAAAAGGTAAATATGGAAATACCGGGTGCTCAGAGCGAATGTATTAAAATTATTTCAACAAAAAAAAGTGAGGACACATGTCGAATAACATTTTTTTGCCAATCGAACGGCGTGAAATTTTTTTTACGGGGTCAAATGAAATTTTTTGTTCGTAATTTCGGGTAAATAATGATATACGCATGATTTTAATAGATACTTGATGAAAATAATAGCAGATCAGGATTATCTATGGATCTATGAACGATTCTGTTCATAAGCCACATATTTTCCAAAGGCTAAGATTTTCTTTAATGAAAAGGGCTCGCATGTGTATTTAAAAAATTCATATCGAGCAATTCATTTAGACGTCTTGAATTTCTATAATTTTTTTTTTTGTAAAAATTATTTCAATACATTCGCTCTGAACACCCGGTTTTTCACATTCACCTTTTCGTACGTAAAAAGTTCCAATTTCGACGAAATAAATAGGAGTATGTGAACATTATGAATTACCGTAAGATGCATAGGAATCAAACAATAACCAGTACTTTTCGAATTATCTTAAAAACAAATATTTTTATCGAAATTTTACAAGAAACAAGAAATACTCAAACAACGACCAGTTTTTTGAATATTTGACAGTTATTTTCTGTTTTGTTTTCCTCACACGATGTAACTCTTTGTGCTGAAGTAATGTACCAATTTTGAGATTGATATCTTATTAAATACGCGAGTAATTAGAAAAAAACAGTATTTAATTTCCAACTTTAACACCCTGTATATCGAATATGAAGGGCTAAAATGAAAAATGGTATTTAGAAGCTCATATTGTTTTTGTTCAAGGAATATATTGGTAATGGATTGACCTCCTTTTAGCGTACACCCTGTATATCCAAGTTCGAAGTATACTCACTCTTCCAAACCCAAAAACTTAAATATTCTTATATGGACCGAATATAAAGGTGCATTCAAATAAAAAACATTCGATAGGGTAGTGCACTAATTTTTATTCATTGTTTACATTGAATCATCAGTCAAATACCTTTCAATTTAATATTTCTTTAGGATTTTTCGTTCGATTTTGAGGTGCTGAAATCATCAATTATGCCACGGTGATTTTCAAACGGCTAGAAATTTACCGCGAGTAAAATAATGTTACGTTTTCGTAAGTAGGGGGGGCAAACCATACCATAATTGACATATATTATGTTGAAATACGATTGGGAACACCAGAATTATTATTAGTTATTCAATAATTCAGAAATTCTCAATTATGTATTGGTTATATTCATAATTAGACATGAAAAATCATTTGTGTCAAAATATTCCCTCATGTTTTGTAGCTTATTGCTTATAATACATATGTGTTAATTATAATAATATTATTATATTAACCACTTCCACTCCAGGTATTCAAAACCTATGGATATTTGGGATATGCCTCACAGGTAACCATAATATCCCTATACGAATATTAGGGTATATTTTGTTCGTTAGTATGTCTAGAGGTGGAATGACTAGATCTGAAGCCTCATTAGGTCTGGTATGGTGAAAATATATCTTCCCCACCCAAACTATGCAATTCTAGAGTACTGTTTTTTGCTCATTAGCTCATTATCGATCTATATCTATCAAGACACATACATACATAGAATGTATTATTTTTTGTTGAATCGCCTCATGTTCGATATTGCCCAAAATAAATGGAGCTGGAGTGGAAAGGGTAAATTCACACTAGAGGACATTTGAGGGTACGTGACAACACAGCGCACGAATTGTGGGCGATGCCTCGTCAGTCATTGTTGCCAAGTCTTCAACATCAACATAATACAGTGCAGACTCGATAATCCGAACGTTCAATAATCCGAATTCTTCAGTAGTCCGAACAAGCATTTTCAATACATTGAGTACTCTATAATCCGAATTTCATAGTACTTTACTATACCTTTAGGCCTATTTATTTCCTATTGAAATTGTGAGTGAAATGTTCAGGGATTCCCCTAATTGTTCTTTTGTTAGTATCTGGGATTCACATCACGCAAGGAAAAAAATAATATTTCGTTAAATGATATTCTTGTACTTCAAAGATTAAAAGAAATGGCCTTTATAAATAATCAAAGACGTGTTAAGCAAACAAAAATTACAAATTACTTTAGAAACTAGTATTATATTCTCACTTTAATGCATATTTTAGTGTTACTTTTTTGTATTTATGTTTTTTTTGCATTTCGTAATAAAAAATTTAAAAAAAAACTGTTTCGGTAATCCGAATTTTTTGGTAATCCGAATCGCCTTGGTTTTTATTAGTTCGGATTATCGAGTCTGCACTGTATTCAGTTATGGAGTATAAGAAATATCTGGACATGTTGGTTGCTCGAAAAGTCAAGAACGAACTATGTTATCATGGCTTCCTCATATTATATTTCATCTCGTGTCTCATTCAACGACAGGACTCTAATCTTTTTGATAAATTGATTATAATTGATGACTAGACAACCTTGCTTCATAAGTGGAAATGGAAATCATCTGACCAATAACAAAAGAGCATAAAAATGACGTCACCATTTATTCAACGTATCGTCAATGGGCTTATATCACAAAACATTTTTATTCCATAATTCGATAGAACTCACCCAAACTAGCTCACCACAGCAAACCGTTTATCGCTGTGAGCTCCCTACGTTTTATAAAAAATTATTAAAATCCCCGATTTTTCGGACCTCTGAAAACAAGGCGATGATGTGACGTCAATACCCTATTACTGAAACAGGACTATTCCAGACAGAGATGAATGATACATGATTTCTGGCAGAGTAAATTAGCGCGAGATCACAGTTGAAAGAATTAATATATCAGTTGCCTCAGTCTCCGTCCGGCGTTTGGTATTTTCTTTTAACTATGGCGAGATGAGGTTTCTACGTCATAAGAGGTTCCGTTTTCAGATGGTACTATTATTTATGTCCAAAAATTGAACATTTCAGTAAATGTTTCGATGGAATTATGTCGTCAATCAATATTTATGTATGAAAGGATCATTATAAACATGATTTGAGTTAAAAGTTCTACCAAGGTGTACAGGCCCATTGGTGGCCATGACGGTACGTTTGAGATGAGCTCTGAAATTCAACAATTATGAACAGCGCATATACTCATTATTTACATAAGAAAGCGTGTTACAAAAATTAATTTAAGTCTCTGTTTCAGATGATGGCGTATGTACACACCCCGAATGTGTCCGAGCGGCTGTACACATTCTGGACACTGTTGATCCCTTGGCCAATCCTTGCGAGGACTTCTACAGGTTCGTACGAAAGCGTTGAAACCAATTTAAATACTAATTGTCACGAATCATATTTCTATACAGGGTGTTTCCGAAATTGGGGCGATACATGAAATGTATCATAAAAGACGAAGAAACAAAACGAAATGAAAGAATACATTTTTGTCAAAAAACAATATTTTGGAGGTTATTGAGCTTCAAAGTTTGCCTGAAACTTCTGTGAATCATCGATCAGAGGTAAATAGCCCAACCCTAGCGTTCCCTTTTGGCGAGATCACAAGCACAGGAAATATTAGTGACTTTCGCAATGTTGCCGGACGATCAATAATAGTTAAAAGATGTAGTATGGTGGGAGCGCACATTCTTTGAAGAGTTTTTGGAATGATTTTTCTTGTGATTCACCTCATTTTATTCATTGCCCCGAAAATACCCTGTATATTATTATGAGGAAACGAAAATTTAATGGAAGTTATATGGAGGCAATAGTGAAATGGTTGTTCATGAAAATGAGGCCACATTATAAACAGACAGATTGTCATTTGATTCGGTATTTCTCCTACCTGAATTGAACTTGTGCGAACAGATAAATTTGAAGTCGAACAAATCTTCTCTCAAAAACTACAAGCACAACTTTGAATCAAAATATTGAAGATTTGAGATAGATCACAATGACATGCACCACAGAGAATGAATGAAATGGAAGATATTTTATATGTACTTAGTTGACGGTTTAGAAAAAATCACTGATAGATATGAAAATTTCTAGACTCAAATTTTTATAATCTATCAGAACGTTGTCATCTAGTATTCAAGACCGCAGAATCAGTCTACTTTTCCCCGGTTATAAGGATATTCCGGAGGTAATCAAATAGCTGAATTTCCGATATATTCCATCAGTAGAGCTAATAGGCCGGTTCTGAGCCCCCTATAATTGATGTCAATGACCTAGTGAATGACCTCGGGACAGTGACCTTGACGATTAACCTTGAGATTTGAGATGAAAGCTGGGTCATCAGAATCAGCCAATTTCTCTATTTCTGCTACTGCGATCAACATGCAAACGATGTTATGAGCTCAGGATTTCAATCCGGTTGCCGGAAATATGATCGAAAACTATTTGATCGAAATCACTCGATCGAACATAGTTTGATCGAAAATTAATTGATAAGAACATTAAATGATCGAAGAATCAAATGATTGAAAAATCAAATGATCGAAAAATCAAACGATCGAAAATCACTTGATCGAAATATCATTTCATCGAGATATCAATTGATCGAATTATATTCCGATCGAACTTATAACATGAATGAAACATGAAACATATTTGATCAAATCCGTCATTCCCTGGAATGCCATACGTATTGCAGGCAAACAAAGTAAACTCCGTTTCAGCCGCTACACTGTTTGTCGGGAGGTTGAGGAAGGAAGATATCCTTTCTGCATAAGCATAAAGAAGGACTAAGGAGAATTCTTTTCTTAAACAGTCAAACCTGGCTCGGCCTGAACAAAAGAGACTACTGTTTCTAAACAACCTAACCGGACTCGGCCTAAATGAACCTTCTAAACAGGTGCATCCACATGAGGGGGGAGGGCAAAGGGGGGGCGAATGTGACATAATTTCTCACATATTATGTTGATCACTATTGTTATACTGGAGGTTGTATTCCTCACAGCTTCTCACAATAATATAATCCTTCAAATCAATGAATTCCTGGAATCTATACAAAGGGTTTGAGACGAATCGGTAAGTATAGTTGAATATTATTAGCGAATGATCATATTCGATCAAAATGTAGTTCGATCAATTGATATTTCGCTCAATTGGTATTTCGATCAATCGATTTTTCGATCAAATGTTTTTCGATCTGATGATGTTCGATCAAATTGAGTTCGATCTAATGATTTCAACCATTCATCCTACTTTTACGATTCTGGCAATTTCACTGCATTTCCAGGTTCGCATGCGGCACATTTTTGCAGAACGCTTTCACAACGGGAAGGCCTTCGTTGCTGCACGAGCTGTCAGAATTGACGAAGAACCAGCTGCAGGAGATCGTGGTGGAGACGAGAAAAGACGAGACGGAGCTGCCAAGGATGCTGCGCGCGCAAAGAAGGTTCTACAGGGCGTGCGCCAACACCAGCGCCATCGAGGAAGAAGAGAATCAGACGGTGTTGAGATTGTTGGATGAGGTATTAGAGAACATGGAATCAATATAGATAGATTTTATGGAAATTAGTAGTGTTTTGTTACGTGTGATGCTTCCGGGAAAAAAACAAGTACACTCCTGGAGTTGAAATCTTCATTTCATATCAAACCAGTTTTCATTCCATTGCGGATAGTGGTTTGGAAATTGTGATTTTACATATCGGAAATTTTTTTAAGACAGAATAATATTTTGACGACCTGAAATAGTATGATTTTGTACCAAACTGCATCTATTATACAGGGTGGTCCGTTTTTTAATACGGAAAATTCAACAGCGTATAGTACTCGTTGAAATAGTTAATAAACTTACTATGAATATATAATTTTAAACGCTTCGTTTTCAAGATATAGGGTGTTCAAGTTTCTTTAAAAAATCGATTATTTATTGATTTCTCAGAAATGCTATAATCGATTGTGATGAAATTCACACCTATTGTGGAGATATCAATGAGCTAACTTTTAGACCTATTACAGTTCATAAATGAGTTACATATCTTCAGGGGCGTGCATTTCAAAATACATTTTTTTTGCCCTCTTATATTTCTTATCTAATAGCTTCGTTTCAGAAGGAAAAATAATAGCCAAACCTATGCATGTCTCTAAAACCCAATGAAAGAAACATTGTAATGCATTAAATCTAGTTAGCATTAGCCGTTTAACAAACCAATCATGTAACCATTGCAAATCAATCATTTATGTATTAGAAGAGCCACAATAGGCCATAGACCGCAGTGGATATCCTGCTATTTGTCTTCAATGTTGCCGAGCTAGTACATTTTTACTAGTTAGTTTTTGAGATATAAGGTGTCAAGAATACGCTTCAGAATAAATATAGTTTTTTAATCGGAAGTTAGAAACGGTTCAAGATAAATTAACGAAATTGGTGTTATTATTTCCTTCGCCACCCCAGATTCAGCCGCCATCGAATAGTTTTAACGAATAATTTTCATTTAATCAAATAAAGCTCAAAAAGTTCAGTATTTGTGGAAAATTTCGTTAATTCATCTATCGTTTCTAACTTTTGATTGAAAAAATATATTCAGAAGCGTATTTTTGACACCCAATATCTCAAAAACGAAGCGTTCAAAAGTATATGTTCATAGGAAGTTTCTTTATTATTTCAACGAGTACTATACGCTGTTAAATTCTCCGTATTGAAAAACGGACCACCCTGTATAGAATGTCATACCACTACCTGGGGTGTAAGGCGTTATGGAAGGCTAAAATTCGAAATCTCTGGAACTGATACGCTTTAACAGGAAGATCAAATTACTAAGGTGGACGGACATACTGACCTCTATCGGAAATCCACGGAGGTTCGAAAAGGAGAATCAGGAGCAGGAATAATAGATATTATGTGCACATGACGTGTGCAGCAGGGGTCTGCAAAAAAGGCTCACTGGAGCCTACTTGCTAGGGGATCTCCTCCCCTTTCTCAACTACTACTACTAGTATGTACCTATACCTATGAAGAATTAATTGACAAAATTATAATTTCCTATCATTTTCAGTATCTCGGAGTCAGTATAAAATGGGAGAATATAATATGTTACATTTTTAACTAGTATTTTCATGCAAATATAATCGGTAGAAATCAGGAATTTATTATTGGTACCGAAACTGCAACTCAAACCAAACTAAATTATTTATAAAACCTGTATGCAAATCAAATGAACAGATGAATTCTGAAATTATTAAATTCCCTAACACGATCTGGTGTGAAATTTTCACTTGTAAACCACTAGAGGTCAAATTATTTCCGGAAATTCATTCGAGTTCATGGACAATTCCTGGGAAGTAATTCGACCTTGATAAAGGTCAGTATGTCCGTCCACATAAGTTGCTGTGGTAATTTGTCATAAAAACCCAATCAAACTGTATAAAAATCACTGGTGTGGAATTTTCTCACCAAATACCACACGAGGTCAAATTACTTTCCGGGAATGTTTTCTTGCTCATGAATATTACAAGTGAAAATTTTAATGGAAATATGACAACATTAGAATTTATAAAAAATAAGTTATTATTTATTATTCCAAATTTTTTGGGATTTTCTCTCCTCATTTCTATAAAATAAAAATATGAATATTATTTCAATATACGTGTAGTAAGGACAAATCAGATGATTTGCCCCAAAATGTCACTGCGTTTAAAGAATTTTACTATCAGAGAGCCTAAAAGAAAAATTCACTAGCTTGTCAGTGACAATTTGTATTGAAAGAAGTTTTGGAGAAGAGAAATAAAGGTAAGTATATAGAAAAAATATTTCAAATTTTCACTTATCTTTGGACGTTTCGGGACCGGTTCTGCTCCCGTTTTCAACCTACAGACAGTATTTAACTTATTATTTCTTAAGGACTCAGAAATGGAGAATTGAAATATAGATTCCATGAGCATAACCAATGATATTTTTAGGATGTATCACCAAAGCATGAGTTTTTTGCTACTATCCAATCAATCATGTACAGAAATGATTCTAGCTTTCAATGATCCTTATTACAAAAACTTGATTCTCAGGTTCTTGGTGGATGGCCCTTACAGAAAAGACAAATGTGGGACGACAGGGGTTTTGATTGGGTGAAATCCACCATCAAATCCAGAAAACTTGGATTGTACTACCAGTTCTTCTTCAGTGTTGATGTCTACCACAATTTAACCAACAATAAGGCTATGTTATGGGTGAGAAATTCAGCTGTTTAAATTTCATTGTGAATTTCTTACCTTTCTAGAAATTTGAAAGATAAGTTATCCCGGTATTATACCCCCATTAACTTAGCAGAACCATTTCAGAATAATCAAGTTTCTACTGAGCAATAATTTGTTGCTTATTTATCGCAAATTTATTGCCAACACAAGAAATGTTTTGCTAAAACCTTCATTATACAAGAATCTATAGTCCTCCTAGGTTTATATGAAGCTAGTAGAACCATTCCGTACCCTTCAATATATTCTGAATAACAATATTAACATACTTTGTCACTAATGTATTACTAATTGAATATCCAAGTATAAAAATAAAAATATGTATGAATTCGTAATCCTCGTGACATTTTAGGTGCATATCTTGATGGCTTTCAATACAATTCAAGCAATTTTTGGAATTTGGCTGGAACATTATGCATCTTCTTTATCATTTGGATCAGGGACAAAAATATTCATAGATTCGGAATCCTTGTGACTGCGCCAAGATGGTTTCCAATGCAGAATTTGAAATTTTTGAAAGTTGTCGGAAAAAAATGCATGAAATCAGCAACAAATCATGTCGAAATTGATATTGAGTAGAGAAAAGCTTACATAGGATAGATAAACCTAGCAGAACCATAGATTTTTCTTGAAAAATTTGAGTGACAAGTGTTTTGAAGTGATAATCAATTGGTGATAAAATAGCGACCAATTCTGTTGCATCAGTTTTTTCTCAAAAGTGCATTATTACCGAGTGGTTCTTTCAGGTTTATACAGGGTGTTTCAAAATAACCTGACCTCCTTACTAGGGTAGGTAGAACACGGCAAAATAAGTTGGATATGCTCAGTAAAAAAATTTCGTAACGGCATCCGTTATCAATATACAAGGTGTTAAAAAAATTATGTTTTCAAACATTTTTTGAGATTATGTCGAAACTAATGGCAACATTGTAATGAAATTTTGCATGGATGTTTCTTGGAATCTGAAACATCGCATGCATTTGTTTCTATATCTGACTCTCATAGAGGGCGCTAGTTACACGGTTCGTACCTAGTAATTTTGAAAATAACTTTTTTGAGGTTAGTTTTTTTGAACTAGATTTGTTGTGAACTTGAACATCATTCAATTCCACACCAGAAAGATACTCTTGGTAGAACTCGATACTTTGTTCCGTTTTCGGAATATTTCGATTTGAAAATGATGAAGTGATAACTGTTGATAGTATAAAGCTATGTATTAGAGTAAGTATTATGAAAAATTATCACCTATTCATTGGAAACCGAGAACAAAAATACATTTCTGATACTAAACTTATTGATTTAACAATGAATCACAAGAATAACTTCGAAACATATTCGACTGAGAACATGGATCACAAAGTTTTGTTGTATCTTGAGCAAAAAGTCTACGCTACAGAGGTAAATTCACGTCAAGAAATGTAAGACATTTTTGAACATCACTTAAATGACCTAACAGCTGATCCTCAACTGTTTGAACACTTACTCTAACTGATTCAATATTCCATGTTTCTAGTCAAATATCTCTAAATTTTCTACTTATGATTCTCTGTTCCATCAATAACTTCAGCACAAGAATAATTTTATTTCTTTGAATCTGAATAAATAGGTAATTGAACTCAATAAAATTCATTTTTCTACAAACGTCAAGAAATGAAAGATTCGCGCATTGATAACAAATTGCGAAGTGGCACTTTTTTTCAGTTTCCTACGTTACCATGATACCTTGTACAAAACAATGCGCGAAGTGAAACAGTGCGCGAAGTACCTACTTCGCGCATTGTTATGTAAAATATATGAGATATTCATATTACAACTTTATGGTCCTCAATCGAGCAAATATCCACGAAATCAATTATTTCTTAATGTTCAACAAGAACTTTGTTTTATCTCTTGGAGCTCACGAAAGGAAATTCCTATTATGTTCGTGGAACATTGTGCGTACGTAGGGAGGACAGGGGGAGGCCTTTTAAGCCAGTTCAACACTATTTTTCATATCAAGCTAAGCATATTTTTACTTTAGAACTATATTTTTAGACGTTTGTAGAAAAAATGTTGTTTGCAACTCGAGCGCGAAATACTTTGGTCATCTCGACTATTTTTTAACTCGGCTACGCCTCGTTAAAAAAATCAGATCTCGATCACCAAAGTAGCATTTCGCGCTCTAGATACAAAAATAACTATTTTTACCAGCATCAGCTATTACTCCATTATTTTCAAATCGAAATATTCCGAAAACGAAACATAGTATCGAGTTTCACCAAGAGTACGTTTTTGGTGTGAAATTGGATGATGTTCAAGTTAATGTCATATTTGGAGTGAGAAATCAAACCTTGAAAAAGTTATGTTCTAAACTACTCGGTACGAACTGTGTAACTAGCGCCCTCTATGAGAGTCAGATATAAAAATGAATTCATGCGATGTGTCAGATTTCAAGAAACATCCATACAAAATTACATCACAATGTTGCCAGTAGTTTCGACATAATCGTAAAAAATGTGTAAACAATCATTCTATAACACCTTGTATCATGAAAACGGATGCCGTTACGACATTTTTTCACTGAGTAAACCCAACTTATTCTGCAGTGTTCTACCTACCCTAGCAAGGAGGTCAGGTTTTTTTTCAAATACCCTGTATACACCTAGTAGAATCATGATTTTTTTTCAAACGATGATGTAATTGCAATGAATACAAATGAATACAAATTACGGAATAGCTGAAAATTGCCAATTCCGAAGTTTATGGGGGTGGTGATTGAACCCAAACCTTCAACACACATCATCACAATCAGTAACATCGAATTTTGAGGGAGATTATATCAGATAAGTTCTCAGACTCACCATCACTATCACAGAGGGTTGTGTAGGATTTGTCTACTCTTCTAATGAGACACACTCTTTGATAGTTGCTTTCATTATTCGATTTTGTTGAATTTTCTACCTCAAGTATTGGTATTGCATTAGGATCATATACGAACATTTATGTTTCCTAAATATAATATTTTTCTTTAGATTCGTCCACCTGCTCAGATAGAAATTTCTTCATTTCAATGGAAAGAGGAAACCATAGACTTGATGGCTGACATTGCAACTCTTTTGGGCTCGGAAAGTAACGTTATTCCTGAAATTCGAACGACAATGTATTTTGCCAAACAAATACAAGGAGTAAGTCAGAAAGAAAAACTATGAACGATCAGTTCTGTCTGTAGATCAATCGAGGTGATGCTACATTCATTATTCTAGATTTTTTGGGATTTTCTCCTCGTTTCTATAGAATAAAAATATAAATATGATTTCAATATACAGGGTGATTCACATAAGAACCGACATAGAGCAGGGGCATGTAGGGGGTCCCAAAACATGGCAATTTAACGCAACTTACCTCTATACCAAGTTGCTTTCCTAAGGAGTTATAGGCTTTGAAAGTGAAGTTATGAATTTTGAAAAAAATCAATATCTCCGTTATTCTTGAACTCAAGGCAACCAAATTTGATACACTTTGTGGATTAATTCAGGGCGTTACTTGACAGTAACTAGAGTTTAATTTAAATTTGTAAAGGGGGTATACCGGGTGGCGTACCATTATTATTCAACAAAATTTTGTTAACCCTTGATGGATTTCAAAAATCTTTGCTTTGTTTTGTTGGCAATTCAATTCTTAAACTTTTTTTAGTCCAGTAATTTCTCGAGAAACCTCATCATTTTCATCAAAAACTCGAATAACTGAAAACGCGTGCTCTAGGTGTGTTATAAAACCATCGAAAATTCGAAAGTTGGCTATGAAAATAAACGTCAAACTTGACAATGAAGCAAGTAAGTTGTTCAATTAAGTGATTTATCGATAAACAATTGTTTGTTCTGGTTGTTGTTTAAGTTTTTTGTGTTTATTTTGGTTAGTTGTTAATCCCAGTTTTTCACATTTCAGTATCTGTAGTTACTTTACGTATTTTGTTACGTATCTAAATAATAATTTGCCAGCCAATTTCTACTGATCACAATTAATGACCTACTTTCTTGTTGTACGTTTATTTTCATAGCCAACTTTTGAATTTTCGATGATTTTAAATAACACACCTAGAGCGCGCGTTTTCAGTTATTCTAGTTTTTGATGAAAATGATGAGGTTTTTCGAAAAATTACTGGAGTAAGAAAAGTGTTAGAATTGAATTGCCCACACAACAAAGCAAGAAATCCATCAAGGGTTAACAAAATTCTGTTGAATATTAATGGTGCGCCACCCGGTATACCCCCTTTCCCCTCATTTTTAATGAAACCCCGTGTTTTCTCAACCTATATTATTTATCAACAATCTCGATATTATGATGACAGACATCGGCATCCATTTTAGAAAGATATAATGTTCACCTCCATTAACTTCTAAAATACTTCCTTTGATCGATTTACTTCATATATGAAGTAGTGGAGATGACTTTGAGCTTTTCTTCTCCCTATCGAAATGATATCCATTTTTTTATTTTATAGAAACGAGGAGAGAATATCTCAAAAAATCTGGAATAATAAACAGTTATCATTGAAAATTGTAACTATTGTACTAAATGTTATTTTTTTGGTATAGTTAGCAGAAATCTATCACAACAAGTCATTGCCGTATGGAAGTAGAGAAAGACAAAATCGGACGATAGCTAGTATCAATCATACATACATCAAGATCGATTGGTTGAGTTTCCTCAAGAATATCACTGGTTTACCACTGCGTGAAGACGACCCTGTAATGTTTGATTTGACTGATTATTTGACGGATTTCTTCTATTTGCTTAGCAGGACTCCCAAAAGGTATTTTGAGAAGAATATTCCAAATGAAAAATATTGTTTTCCACAAACGTCAAAAAATGACAGGGTTCGCGTATTGACAACAAATTGCGAAGTGATACATTTCTCAGTTTTTTCTACGTTACCATGATACCTTGTACAAAACAATGCGCGAAGTAAAACAGTGCGCGAAGTACCTACTTCGCGCAAATTTTCCAATATTTTTTTGGCGGCTTTTTATAACGCCGACGAATGAAAATAAAATATCACAGTAGTAGCAACTGTTATCAAGTGACGTATGGTTTCCATAGCCAACTTTTCAATTTTTGGCTTTCATTTTGTTTCCATGGCCTACTCGGTGAATTTCAATAATAATTTTTTTCTGATCTAGTTTCTGGTTAGATACCAACTTGTGATATGTCATTAGAAAGAGAATTGAATGCTGAATAAAGCGAAAAGAAAAAAAATTGGGTTTCCATTTAAAATAAGAAAGTTGATGTTATTTTCGGTCAGACCGGAAGCTAAATTCGACATGTCAATATGCTCAAATTCTAGCTCTTATGTCATTATATCGACGCTCCAAATTTCGGAAACCTACTTCATACAATAACTGAGATATTCCGTAGGCACTTGGTATATAAAGAAATACATTGAGAATTCGCATTCTCCATGTAATGAAAATATCAATTCTTTCTCGGTTCATTCAACAGAAAACAACTACTTTCCTGGCTATTGTTTTAGTTATATTATAGGGAGATGAAAATTGTGTATATGAAGAATGACTGAAAGAATAACTAGACTTCAGGTTACTGATGGGGATATGATATCCGAAATGAATTCATATAACCTGTTTCTGAGAGATATAATTACCATATCACTGATTTAAATATTTTTTTCAAAGCTCATCGAGATCAGATTTCATACAAGTATACTTCTCCTATACATTTCAATTTTCATTTCAATACTGAAGATATCGGTAAGTTATATTTTTATATCATAATACATCATATTATTCTATTCGATTTGACAGATGATGTTAAACTCTCAATTTCAATGGATTTTAATTTTTTATGCTTTCTTTTTTTGGATATTCAACAGATATAATTCCATGTTCGACGTGGCAAATAGCCAGGAAAGTAGTTGTTTTCTGTTGAATATTCAGAATTATATTATATGCATATCTTCATATGAAGGAGAATGCAAATTCTCTACTTCAGAAGATTTTGTTTTCAAATTCTTATCGTGTGTGTTCAATAGATGTAATTCAATATTCTTCGTGGCATATAGCCAGGAAAGTAGTTGTTTTCTGTTGAATGAACCGAGAGAGAATTGATATTTTCATCACATGGACAATGCGAATTCTCAATGTATTTATTTATATACAGGGTGGCATAGAAAAAAGTACATTGCATAGTGCCACACAATAGAGGATACTAAAATAAGAAAAAAAGTTCGTATGAACATGGGTCCGCATGGCCTTCGGTTAAAAGATACGGGGTGTTGAACTAAAATTTGTTTTGGGTTTTCTTTGAATATCTTCAGCCAGAGACGCAAGAAATGGATAAAATGTGGTATACAGGGGTTTTTTATCATGCTAAATTCAAATATAATCTTAGTTTTGTGATGACTGATAGAGGGCGCTACATACAGGGTTCCTTCCATCCCTATTGAATCGGTCGTAACTTTTTTGCTATACACCGTATGTCATTTTCGACGGAAAAAAATTGTTATTCCTTCTCTTATACTTAGGAAAGGTAAACCTTGTCCAAGTCGCTAGAAGCAATGGTTCCAGTACAAATGCATCTAAAAGCCGACAATGCACGCAAATTATTCAAAAAGCGCCAAAGTAACTTCTGCAAAAACAATGATAAATACTTCAACAATTACATTTTGATGGTATGATGAAAAATATGATTGATTAGAACAAAACATTAAGTTTTTAGGAGATGTTCAAATTGTTGCCCTTGTACTTCAATACATTTTTCCATTAAAATTCAACACCCCGTATCATTTAACCGGAGGCCTTGCGGACCCATGTTCATAGGAACTTTTATCCTTATTTTAGTGTAGCACTATGCAATGTACTTTTTTCTATGTCACCCTGTATACATCAATTTTTTTGTGTTAATGAATATATATGAGAATGTTCCTTTTCAATATCCACGAGATCATTTATTTCCTGAATGCTCAACGATAATGATGTTTTATCTCTTGGAACGCACGAAAGGAAACTCCTATTATGTTCGTGGAACATCGTGCGTACCTAGGGAGGATAGGGGGAGGCCTTTTAAGCCAGTTCAACACTATTTTTTATATCAAGCTAAGCATATTTTTACTTTAGAACTATATTTTTTGACGTTTGCAGAAAAAATGTTGTTTGCAACTCGATCGCGAAATACTTTGGTCCTCTCGACTATTTTTTTTAATTCAGGTACGCCTCGTTGGAACAATCAGATCTCGATCACCAAAGTAGCATTTCGCGCTCTATAGATACGATAATAAATTTTCAATTTATTTTCGCGTTTCCAATGACCTGATTTTTTTATATTATTTGTTGGCATTTTTCAGAATAAGCGCAAATTTCATGTCTTGGGCAATTATATCGAGCAATATAAACTACATGACAAGAGCAGTGAGAGACAAATACAAAGAATTGTCAAAATTTTCAAACGACACTGAGGAGGCAGATACTAGCAGATGCGATATTTGTTTCAAACTTAGCACAGGATTGTGAGTAGACTATAATTACGTCATTATTCATTATTGCTATATGCTTCAGTGATTCCACTTTACTTCCTTCGACACTCTAAATTCAATTTCCTAAATTATCATTCGAAATGTTTTTTCACTTTTTCTTTCACTCAAGGAGTTCACTACAATTGTTAGAATCATCATATGAAAAGTTATATTTATCGAGCATCAGCAATGAAAATTGTCTACTGATTACTTAAACAGTTGATTTTCATCAGTCGCAATTTCGATTTTTTTCTTTCACTAATGAGAAACTATCAAGAAAGGACAATCTCTGAACTACAGATAGTAGATTAACATCAAAATATGAAGATTCAGCCCAACATGACTTATAAAAATGTTGCAAATACAGGGTGTACAGGAAATAATTTTATTAGGATTACTCCATAACATTTATTTTGAAATTCTGTTCGTTGGCATTTTTAGTGACTGTCATTATTGATAATTGTCTTTTTTCCACTGTCACTTCACTTTATAATTTAAAATAATATAATCGTTATATATCGGGTGATCACAGAAAAACTGGAAGTTTTTATTATCCTGGTGGTTTAATCATTTTTCAACCGAACTTGAATTTCTCGACGTCATAAACTTCACAAACGATAAGATTTTCACAAAATTCTCAAACACACGACATGTTTCGCTAACACAGTAGCTTCTTCAGGTGATATACTGATGGTACAATGAAAATTCAAAGGCTAAGTATACAGTGCAATATTTGAAAATTTCACATTCGAAATAAAACAAAATGGTAGGGTAACTCGAACATTTGTGATTTACAAAAATCGCAGGCGAATAAGAAAATCAGAATTTTTCCAACCTGTACCGATATTATTTCAGAACATTCATTTCTGAAGAGAATGAGTACCTACATGAACATCGGAATCGAACAAATATTCCAGGAGATACACTCACTTTGAAAAAATGTTGATTCTTCCAATTAGAACCGATGTAATTCAAGATAATTGATTTCTAAAAACAATGAGCCCTCGAATATCTAAATCGAACAAATAATAGTCCAGGAGATATACTTATTCTTTTTGGCGATGTGTTATGGATTGCATGTGCCAATCTCGTGATAAGAATTACTTTTATTTTGCTTCTGGATATAGCAGAATTCAGTCGAATTTGAATTTCTCAAAATTATTTTGAAGCTGAAGAGCTGTAGTACACAGTAAAACATCCGAAAATGTTATAATTGAAACTTGACTCACAAAAAACGCTGGCGAATAGGAAGATGCTAATTTTGAATCATAGCTTTTATAGACAATGAGTACTCGAACATCTGAATCAAACAAATAGACCAGGAGATGTAGGCACTTTTTAACAATGTTATGGAGTAAATGTGCTGAATAACGAATTTCAAATAATATCGGCACATTGTCTCCATAACACATTGCCAAAAAGAAAATGTATTTCATGGACTATCGTGGGGTACTTCGATCAAAAGCATCTAACGTTTGAAATATTTAATTTGACCATTTTTCACGCGAGCTCTTGGTCTAAAAGTGTCACCTTTGATCCTAATAAAACAATCTACTATTACTGAAGTAACAGAGTGCTACTAGCCACCTTCTATGAGCAATCACAAAATAGGTTACAAATTCATATTTCTTATATGTCAGGAATCCTGGAACTACAAAATTTTATGTTCATGCTGTGGAAATTCACGAAGTTATTGAGAAATCTCAAAATAAAATTTTACCAGCAACATTCTTATTATAGGCATGTTATATGGGATGGATCTTATATTTTGGTGTTTACTATCTGCATGTGCTTCAGAGATTGCCCGTTGTTAATGACTCACCCTGTATACTATGAAATAGTTTTTAATTCAATTTCATCATTCGAAGTTGATATTTCAACCGAATGGTCAGTGGGGATATTATTTTTTGAATTTTTAGGTTCAGATCTATAGCAGAATCGGAATACATGCGCAGATACACGACTATTGAGAAAAAAACTTCTATATCTAGAATGATTCAAGCCATAAAGAAAGAAATGGAGATTTCGCTCACGGTCACTCCTTGGTTGGACGAGGTTTCCAGGAACAATGCCTTGAAGAGACTGAAAAACATCACCGAGGCTATCGGTTGGTTGGATCTTGCCTTCGATATTGATAAAATCGATCAAATCAATGGGTATCACAAGGTTAGTATATTTTCCATTGTAGCATTGTGTGGTACCTCGAAATTTTCGTAATTAGAAATTCTGGAAGTTTTATCATTGTAATTACTGGAAGTTTTCAGTAGCAGAATTATACAGTGTGTCCCACTTTCAGCAGCCCTACTATAGTGGTGCCCGCGAGAGTTTCGTTTTCGAGAGCCTCGCATGGTCTCGTCTCGGTAAATATTTCTGCGTGCCGACTGCAGACTTGCTTGAGACTTTCATTCATAGTACAACATATTTAGAAGAATTCAGACTATTAAGCACAGATAGACAAAACATTTCATTCATAAATACTTTAAAAACACAATCCATGATTGTTGTAAAACGACGTTATGCGTGAAACGAAAACGGACTATTCTTTCTCTGCAATAACGACAGATCGCAAATTGAATGACTACCTACCTGAAAATCTATAAATAAGTCATTCTGTGTTAAATAGTCTAAGATCACTTTGTTCGGCTACGCCTCGTTAAAAAAATCAGATATCGATCTCCAAAGTAGCATTTCGCGCTCTAGATACAAAAATAACTATTTGTTGTAATTTTCTCTCCTTACTTCCACATGATACATAAAAAGTAGTGGTAAAGGTAAATATCCCGTACTAAACTGGAACAAGATTATGCATGGCGAAATTGCGATACATTTGCGACTCTCGTACGAGACGCGAGACAAGACGATACTCGACGCTTCGAGACGAGACTTCATATTTCATCGGCGAGACGAGACTTTATAAAAGTCTAGTCTCGTTGGTCTCCTGTGAATCACTAGGCCCCACTTATGTGTTGTCTTGATTGTTGGCCGATTTCAATTTATCTCTTTCCCAACATGTATGTATGTACAGGGTGGCCAACTAAGAATCCAGAGTTCGATACCTCTGTTGTTTTGAGAGATACAAAAAAAAGTTTTGCATTCAAATTAAAGTGATAACCGAGCTCCACATTTCAAAATTTCTTTGAAATACACAGGGTGTTCCGTAAGGTCACAGCCCATCAAATCTATGTTTTTCTCATTGGAACACCCTATATTTTATTTCATTTTTAAATTCTCCCTGAAAATCTGATTTCAACGACGTATCATACTTAGGGTCTAGCAGTGAAAGTTACTGACATATGGGGTGTGCAAAATCGTGATTTTCCAAGTTTAGGATTCTTTTCTGTCGAAACTTTTCATTATTCGTCAAAACGGTTTACATGTCCCTATCTCAACTTTTCACTCACTATCAATTGGTGTTCAATTGACATTTAATTCAGACAAATTATAAATTTAGATTTTTTGACCACCTTGTATCAATTTCAATTGAACACCAATTGATAGTGAGTAAAAAGTTGAGATAGGGACATGTAAACCGTTTTGATGAATAATGAACAGTTTCGACAGAAAAAAATCCTGAACTTGGAAAATCTCGATTTTGCACACCCTATATGTCAGTAACTTTCACTGCTAGACCCTAAGTATAATGGGTCGTTGAAATCAGATCTTCAGGGAGAATTCAAAAATGAAATAAAATATAGGGTGTTCCGATGAAAAAAACATAGCTTTGATGTGCTGTGACCTTACGGAACACCCTGTGTATTTCAGAGAAATTTTGAAATGTGAAGCTTGGTTATTACTTCAATTTTGATCCATGACTTTTTTTTGTATCTCTCAAGACAACAGAGAAATCGAACTCTGGAGACTTAGTTGGCCACCCTGTACAAACAGTTCTAATGCGATGTATTATTTCTGAAAATGACACATACGTTTTTCAGCAGTTTCTCAACATGCTGAAGCGATATTATAGTTTTCCGCGGAAAAAATGCTTGATATTACTGTCCGATTTTTTTTGACAGATTGAAAATCTTCTTTCCAGATAGTAGTTCATGGTGACAATGCTGTGGATATGGCTCGAACAATGACTAGAAGCAACTTCGACAACTATTACAGACAAATGGAACGGAATATAACCGACCTGGATAGGATAAGCAGTCCAAGGATAGAAGTGAATGCCTATTTTGTCAGATCCTATAATATACTCGGTAGGTCGATGATACTCTATTCCGAATTTCTTCCAATTATTCCAGTCCCAGTAGAATTGAGAAAATATCTATTAAACATTTATCTATCTAAATCTATTCAATGAACAATGTTTATGCTTAGTTTCTTCAAGGTGACTCTCTAACAATGCTTTTATGGATAAATAACTCTTCTACATTTTTTTTATCGCTTGGAGCGCACGAAAGGGAATCCCTATAATGTTCAAAGAACATCGTGCGTTCCTAGGGAGGATAGGGACAGGAGGTAGGTATTGGATTTTTTTTTGAACTTCTGGAGATTATATGTTGTTGGGAACACTTCCTCAGGCAATGAATTCCATGGATGGAGGAGTTTTGATGAAGTGCTGTCCCACATCTTTCGAAGTTGACAACGAAAGGATGTGCTGACAGGGCTTGTCTAGTTCATCTGACTGGTATTGATTGTGAAGGGATGATAGCAGAGATTTCCGAAGAACATTTCCCGTGGAAGTATCGATAGAATAAAGAAAGGTCGCCGATCTTTCTACGGTGTTCCAATGATGTCAAAGAGTGAGTGAGTGTGGCGTCACCCACCAGGCGGATGGCTCTTCTCTGGATGGAATCTAAGAGCATTCGCGTATGTTTTGGTGCTGAACCCCATATGTGGGAACAGTATTCTAGAACAGGCCTTATCTGCGCTTTGTAGATCATGAGGAGCTGTTGAGGTGTAAAGTAGCTTTTCGCACGGAACAAGAATCCGAGTTTTTGTGAAGCAGCTTTTGCGATGGATCTGACATGATTATCCCATGAAAGAGTGTTGCTGATGGAAATACTGAGCATAGATATGGTGGGCTTGGTGGGGATGGTGGTGCCAGACATTACAATGTCGGGCATACTGAGTTCCGCCTTTCTAGAGAAAATACAGGCTTGAGTTTTGGTGGCTTTGAATTCAACTAGGTTGTTGGTTCCCCAGGCTGTGATTTCAAGGTCTTCATTGGCAGAATTGACCTGCCTGCGCCGTGAGTTCTTAGTTTCCTGGGAAGAAATGGGAATTCTGGAAGAGAACGCAGTATGTGGATGGGGCAAGTTGTTACTCCCAACAGATCATGAATATGAAGATGGAATAATGTTGGTGCCAAAATTGATCCTTGTGGAACGCTGGAAAGGCAGATAGATCGGTTTCCTGCTTCGAAATTTTTTTGCTCGTCAAAACAATTTTTCTTTTATTACTCGACGTCATAATTGTTGTTTGAGGACCACCCTGTATATTAGAATAGGTTGATCATGCATCATTTTTGACCACCGTTCGAACCAGATTGACAGGAACACAAAGCCAATAGAAATTAGAGCATCACATTATGCATTATCTTAATAAAACATTCATATTTCAGTAACGCGTGTGACAATTCCAACAATTTTTTCACAGTATCGAGAAAACATATAAAGCAATATGTTATAGGTCAGAACTATTTTTTTTTAATTGTATGATTTTTGTTTTATCTTCTAATGTAGATGTATAATTAATTAATGTATATGATTTTCTCACTTTCATGCTACCTCGAAATGTGCTACCTATGTTGTAGTACGATATTTAGATGTCCCACAGAAATTGAATCATATTTTAGTTCACTCTGACTTGTAAACCTATATGTTGCCGTTTTCCCAGGTTGAATGGAAGAGCAGTTGCCTTTCTCCTTGGAAAGAGGTGACTGAATTCCGCCTTTTCTTTATTGAATAAAGACATTATTATTATTATTATTATTATTACTTGAAAAAAAAAAAAAAAAATTTTCTTTCAAACGGGAGGCGTTCGAGATTTTTGGAAAAATGCACAGCTTTGATTATCATTCTGTAGGATATCATCCGGAAAAGATGAAATAGTCATATCCATAAGTTCAATAGTCTATGAAACGAGCTTTCAGAAACTGAAAAAATTATCGAAAATCGGTTGAGGAAATCGAAAATTATAATGATTCAAATTTGATCGATTTCACGTTTCATATGTTGAGCAGTTTATTATAAATAATGCGAACAAACAGACAACAATTCCCAAATTTTCCAGTTCTGCCGGCGTTCATTCTTCACGGCCAAATTATCTCTGAAAATATTTGGTAAAGGTCTGAGAATCGGACGTGAGCTATTTTTTAAATTTAGAATTCAAGATGGCGAATCCAATAATAGTGGATGAGTTTTGGTATTATGATCCGATTCTATTCAAAATTGGTATCTGTGAGTTATACGTGTCAAAGATTATGATTCTTTCATTCAAATTTGGAAATTCAAGATGGCGGATACAATATGACAGACGAGTTTTGTAATTATGAACCGATTCTATTCAAAATTGGTATCTGGTTGTTTTCGAGGTCAAAGATCATGGTTTGTCAATCAAAATTTGGAAATTCAAGATAGCAGACGAGTTTTGTAATTATATACCGATTCTATTCAAAAATGGTATCTGGGTGATTTCGGGGTCAAAGATTATGATTCTTTCATGAAAATTAGGAAATTCAAGGAGGCGAATCCAATATGACAGGCGAGTTTTGTGATTATAAACCGATTTCATTCAAAATTGGTATCTAGGTGATTTCGGGGTCAAAGATTATGATTCTTTCATCAAAATTCGAAAATTCAAGGAGGCGAATCCAATATTACAGACGAGTTTTGTAATTATGAACCGATTTTATTCAAAATTGATATCTGAGTGATTTCTGGGTCAAAGAAGGTATCTGGAGGTTTTCGGAGCCGGAGATTTTCTTCTCGAAATTGGGAATTTAATATGGCGAACGATTAGCATTATTATAAATAGAGGAAAAACTGAAGAAAAACTCTATTATGGATAGCCAAACTATACAGTCTGTCCAAGATAAGGTTGAACAGCATGGGGATCTCGAAAACGGTAAGAGATACGAAATCGGTTGAATGGGGAAAAAGTTGCGCATTCGGAGGCTCATATCAAGAGCCTTCGGAAATTTTGAAAATTATTTTCAGTTTTTGAGTTATATCGAAAAAAGTGAATTTTTGGAATTTCTATTTTATTTTTTTTCTCCGTTATTATTAGAGATACAGCAAAACTGAGAATACTTTTTCATAGCAACTTTCGATGACGGTCAACGTGGTGATACCGATTTTTTCATGCGACGTTTCGTATTCGTGGAACCATCATCAACTTTTGTTTTTTAAATACGGTCCTGATAATTTTTTCACAGATTCTAAAAGGTTTTTTTATTCTGAATTCAACCATGTATTATACAAGGTGGTTCATTTGTGTTTCGACCTATTTTTGACCATCATCAATGTTTTTTCGAAACTCCAAAGGAAAAATGCCATCAGTTCCACTTATTTTGAAGGAAAATTAGTCAACACACTAATACCTCATCAACTGGTTTCAATCAACAACCCATTTCATTTTGTGGAAACAAAAATTCCATCCATAAAAATTCAGAATATGTCAAGCGCTAAAACCAGGCGATGACGAAAGGCGCAAGACATTCTGTGAGTGGTATACCAGGAAATGTTAAAATTTTGCAGATTTCTTTCGAACAATCATCTGGACTGATAAAAGCATGGTCACTAATTATGGTAGCTTCGATAGAAAAAATACACATTATTGTTCACGAGAAAATGAACATTTATACATTACAGCGAGACACCAACACCGTTTCGGCTTTGATATGTGGGTTGCAATATTTGGTACACGAATTATTGTCGCTTCTATTTACCATGAAACACAGACTTCCGAACGTTATAGAAATTCGCTTGAGAATCATCTTGAGGAAGCTCTGGATGATTTACCGATTGCGGAAGTTCAGAACTCTGTTGGTTTCAACAAGATGGCGCTCCGGTACATAATTCCAGAGAAGTCCGTGCGTTTTTATCCCTTGGCCGGCACGGTCGCCTGATTTGACACAGCTGGATTTTTTCTTAGGGGATATATCGAACTTTGTACACGCAAATAACTTTGAGGATGAAGAAGAACTAAGGGACAGTGTCTTCGAAGCATTCAATAGAATAACCCCAGAAATGCTTAGCAATGTCTTAGAAACAACTGTGAGAAGAGGATATCTTTGTTCAGAAAATAATGGTTATCATTTTGAACATTTGTTATGAATGTCTCTGTAGGTATTGTCAAAGTTAAGTTGTTAAAGTAATTCGTGTAAGAATTCATCAACAATTTTAAACGCTGCATTGATCGAATGATGTAGTGAAATATTTTTTATTCACTTTTCAGTATTGAATAACTAATCCATCAAGTTTGACACTAAATGATAAGAAATAAGTGGAACTGATGGCTTTTTTTCTTTTGGAAGTTCGAAAAAACATTGATGACGGATAGAAATAGGTCGAAACACATTCGAATCACCTTGTATAGTAAATTGTTGAATTCAGAATAAAAAAACCTTTCAGAATCTGTGAAAAAATTATCAGGACCGTATTTAAAAAACAAAAGTTGATGATGGTTCCACGAATACGAAACGTCGCATAACAAAATCGGTATCACCACGTTGAACCTCATCAAAAATTGCAATGGAAAAGTATTTTCAGTTTTTCTGTATCTCTGATAATAACGGAGAAAAAAAAAAAAATAGAAATTCCAAAAATTCAGTTTTTTCGATATAACTCAAAAACTAAAAATGATTTTCAAAATTTTCGAAGGCTCTTGATATGAGCCTCCGAATGCGCAACTTTTTCCCCATTTAAGCGACTTCGTATCTCCTACCGTTTCCGAGATCCCCATGCTGTTCAACCTTATCTTGGACAGACTGTATAAGGAAGTAGGAAATACATATTTGTTTGAAAAACTAAAGAGATAGAATAGATTGTCGAACTAAAAAGAAGAAGAAAATAAAATGAAAGAGTGTTGATGAGTTTTTCACCAAAAAAATAATTTCTAGAGATAATATATACAGTATGATGCAAATGTATGGAATAAATTCATTATTTCAGAAATGGGCGACATTTTAAAAAAATCCAAAAACACGTGAGGTTTCATTTTTGAAGCCTCATCTCATGATATCCATATGAGAGATGTTACGTCACCGGTGTTGGAGTAATGACGTAATGAACGATTTTTTCAAAAGAAAACAGGGGTCATGTGACACCTCGTTTGAAAGGTCTACTGATCGTCTATTCAACAGTCAACATTTTGCATAGGAAAATTGAAATTAAAATGGCTTATCATTTGATTAACTGAATCTTGCAGAGGTCTGCTACTGAGAATTGAACAACGAAGGGTCGTCTATTTAAAAAAATAAATCAATTAATAAAGTTCTGAAGTCTAGTTTTTGAATTCTTTCGGAAGTCGTTTTGAAATGAATTTATTCCATACATTTGCATCATACTGTATATCCAAACAACGTTTGCCAGGTCAGCTAGTTTTCCGATGAAAAGCTACTTCGAATTTTTGCTTTTCCGAATATTCTCGAATTTTTCAGTTTTGCCTGCGTCCATTCTTCAAGGCCAAATCTTCTCCACAAATAGGCCGTCCTACCTCAACTACGGCGCTCTGGGCACCGTGATCGGCCACGAAATGACGCACGGGTTCAGCGAAGCCGGCGAATTATTCGATTCGGACTCGGACAATTTGTGGACCAACGAGACGATGCAGAGGTTCGCGAACGTTTCCAGATGTCTCGTGGACGAGTACGACGATTATCGCGAAGGGATAGGAAAATTGGAAGTAAGTTATTCTTATTCACCAAAAACAACGTTCATTAGTTGATTCATTATTCCAAATTTTTTGGAAATTTTCCCTCCTCGTTTCTATAAAATAAAAATATGAATATTCAATATACGTGTAGTAAGGACAAATCAGATGATTTACCTCAAAATGTCACTCCGTTTAAAGAATGTTCCTATCAGAGCGTCTAAAAGAAAAATTCACCAGCTTGTCAGTGACAATCTGTATTGAAAAAAGTTTGGAGAAGAGAAATAAATGACGTTTCGGGACCGAATCTGCTCCCGTTTTCAACATAATAAATGATTATTTCAATCGCAAAGTCGTATCTGTCTCGAAGCTTTTCAGTTTTCCTTGACAATAGGTGACGTTGGCAATCAAATGAGTTACAGGATGTGTTCAGTAATTATTCTTCAATTTACCATTTTCATGTTCAGATTTAAGTAGTGAATACCATGTTCTGTCTATATCAACTGAACAAGAAGCAATGCTATTGTCTCCGTTCAGAAGAATGCAAGCAGATTCCTTGATTTTTCTCTTCTGGTTGTTATCTTCTTTTCCAATGATTTTAATATTATTCCACTCTGCCATATGTTGTCCGTCTTCAGTAAGGATATGTTCAGCTAGTTTCGATTTATCGATGTGTCTTTTCTTTATATTGTACCTACTTATGTTCCTTCGTCCTTACTGGAAGAGGTCTCTTGGTTTCACCTGTACAAAACTTTCCTCAAACACAAGGTATACTGTGAATACAATTTTTTGACGATTGTTCTTAATTTTTTTTTTCATTGCAAAAGAAGATAACAACCAGAAGAGAAAAATCAATGAGGGTAGGAAACCAGCCAATTCATTACATATTCTTTTCTGCCATGTGAAACATATAATTTTTTCTCCAAATTCTTTTCAATTTCACGCGGAGTCCAAATAATCCATCATATTTTGTTCGCACAAAGTCATTGTTGATTCAAATTACTTGGAACGTTGCAAAGCAGCAAACTTCTTCTTCCAGGCAGTAAAAGTACACCTCTTCTGCCTGTGGAGTGATATTAAAAAGCCACCTTTAATGTCATTTGGAGAAAATAGGAGATTGTTTTATTAGGATCAAAAGTGACACTTTGTTTGACAAGCGAATTTTGCATTTGCGAAGCCGAGCGAAAGCAACATTTGCGAGTCAAACAAAGTCACTTTTGATTCGAATGAAACATGCTATTTTTTCTTCAACCGAATATTCTACCTGTATTAAAGCAGGTTTATGCAATTTTCAAGGATGTTCGAATAGTAGTTTCAATATGAATACAACCACAGAGTTATTTGTGTATGGGCAAGGTGCTCTAATATAGCAAATACCGTGTCAGTGTTAGGAATAGGAACAAGACGTGGAAAAAGTTAGGTTAGTGAGCATATCAACAATAATAATAGTGATTATTTATTTCTCTCCATACCCCACTGTGTTCGGCTTGATGATCAAATGTAGGTAATTAATATCGTTGCTTGAGACACAATAAACTATTGCTGGCCGTGATTATTCAAAAACAAAATTATCCATCCTGAGAATAACGAATGAAATAAATATCAAGCAAGTATGTGAATCTTAACGGCTTTCCTGATCAAAACAAAAATACTCAACGATACCCTTCATCATATACACTAGTGTGAATACTCGAATATTTTACTAAGATGTATTTATATCTCCAACAGCATGGGTATGAAATGCCAAATCTGTATAAATTGGAAACAAATCAGGTGTGCGTCCCAGCCCACATAACCAACCATAACAATGTTGTACATTCTTGATGAAGTCCAGTACATCCTTTTTAGTTCCCAGGAGCTGAAGTTCAACTTTAGCTCCTAGGAACTAAAGTTTAATTTTAGCTCCTAGGAACTCAATGTGTTGCCTAGCAACATACCTATTTTTGTGTAATTAATAGAAACATAAACGTCAATTCAAGAGCTAATCTTGGACGACCTTTGTGTCGGTTGCAAAATAGTAGATTGTTTTATTAGGATCAAAAGTGACACTTTGTTTGACAAGCGAATTTTGCATTTGCGAGGCGGAGTGTTTAGCGAAGCCGAGCGAAAGCAAAATTTGCGAGTCGAACAAAGTCACTTTTGATCCGAATGAAACATGCTATTTTTTTTGCAACCGAAACAATTAACTCAAATAAACATGTGAAGTAACCACCAATACCGTGCCATATGTATGCAATGCAACAAATATTGACAAATAATCCATGTGGTGAGAATATTCTACCTGCATTAAAAGCAGGTTAGGTTTTCTAGGATGTTCGAATTGTAGTTTCAATATAGGCCTGTTCGTTTGTATTGCTAAACTTGCCAAAGTTGATTTTTTTCCCATAGTTGTCCTTGTTCATGGCATGATGTAAACAGAGAGAGTCATAGAAACAAATCAAGTTCAGCAGGTAGAGCAAGCACAAACAAACAGGCCTTATAAATACAACCACAGAGTGACATATTTGTGTATGGACCAGGTGCTCTAATGGCAAATACCGCGCCAGTGCCAGCTATAGGAACAAGACGTTGAAAATGTTAGGTTAGTGAGCATATCAACAATGATAATGGTGATTATTTATTCCTCCCCATACTACACTGTGTTTGACTTGATAATCAAATGAAGCTAAACAATATCGTTGTTTGAGACAAAAAAACTATTGCTTGCCGTGATTATTCAAAAACAAGTTATCCATCTCGAGAATAACGAATGAAATACAGATCAAGCAAGTATTTGAATCTTGAAGGCTTCCCTGATCAAAACAAAAATACTCAACTGAGATGTTTATAATTCCAATACTAAACTATAAAAAGGTGTATTTATATCTCCAGCATGGGTATGGAATGCCAAATCTGCTGAAATCGGAAACAAATCAAGTATGCGTCTCAACCCAAATAACCAACCGTCACAATGTTGTTTATTCTTGATGACGTCCAGTAGATCCTTTTTAGTTCCTAGGAGCTAAAGTTCAACTTTAGCTCCTAGGAACTAAAATTCAACTTTAGCTCCTAGGAACTAAATATGTTGCCTAGCAACATACCTATTTTTGTGTCAGTAATAGAAACGTCAATTCAAGAGCTAATTTTGGTATCAAAATGGACGACTTCTGTGTCGGTTGCAGAAAAAAAATATTTTGTTGTTTCGAAGAATCATTTTTATCCGTGTGACCTCATCGAAGCAAAAATATACATACTTCTCAAAAACTGACGTGTCTTTCAGGTGAACGACACCTGCGATCCGGTCCAAACCCTCCTGGACGAAAACCTGGCCGACTTCACGGGTGTTAACCTGGCATATACGGCGTACCGACGCTGGGCGCAACTCAACGCCCCCGAAAAAACTCTGCCAGGCGTACGGTTCACGCCCAATCAGCTGTTCTGGATCATGGCCAGCACGTACATGTGCCACGATCGTAAATTGTCTGAAGATGATACGTTCTTTAAGGGACGAGACGCCAGCCACGGAGAGCCCGAGTTCAGGGTGGTGGGCAGGATCAGAAATTCGCCCTATTTTGCGAAGGATTTTGATTGTCCTGCTGATTCCGAGATGAACGTTAGGGATAAGTGTCGGGTTTATTATTGAAATGGGATTTTGTTGTAGCATCGAAAATATCACATCTAATAAAAATTTCTTTTGACAGCCCCAATATGAATTCTTTGCATGAAAATCTATTGAAACCAGTTATGTGATTCACAGACAGTAACTGGAGAGTAGGTAAACGAACGTCAAGTACGATTTTGATAGCGTGACATTATTGTTTTAAAAATTCATCATATTCTCTCGAATTGTGATATTTTTAAGTAAAAAACCTACTATACTAATACTATGTACAATTAATCAAGGATCATCCTGTATATCTGATTTTTTCGATACGATTTTTATATACAGTCTGTCCAAGATAAGGTTGCACAGCATGGGGATCTCGGAAATGGTAGGAGATTCGAAGTCGGTTAAATGAGGAAAAAGTTGAGCATTCGGAGGCTCATACCAACAGCCTTCGAAAATTTTCAACATTTTCTTTAGTTTTTCAGTTATATCGAAAAAAGTGAATTTTTGGAATCTCTATTTTATTTTTTTTATCCGTTATTATTTGAGATACAGGAAAACTGAAAATACTTCTTTATAGCAACTTTTGATGACGTTTAACGTGGTGATACCGATTTTTCTATGCGACGTTTCGTATTCGTAGAACCATCATCAACTTTTGTTTTTTAAATACGGCCTTTCACAGATTCTGAAAGCTTTTTTCATTCTGAATTCAACCATGTATTATACAAGGTGGTTTGAATGTGTTTCGAACTATTTTTAGCCATCATCAATGTTTTTTTCGAAATTCCAAAAGCAAAATGCCATCAGTTTCACTTATTTCTGATTATTCAGTGTCAAACATTGATGGACGAGTTATTCAATACTAAAGAGTGAAAAAAAAAATCCACTAAATTATTCAATGCAGCGCTTTGAATTGTTTATGAATTGTATTCATATTTTAATCCGAAGGGAGCTTCTCATAATTTAATTTTTCGAACTAATTATTCCTATAAGTCTATCAATCGGAACTAGTTGATGAGGTTTTAGTTTGTTGGCTAATTTTCCTTCAAAATAAGTGGAACTGATGGCATTTTTCCTTTGGAATTTCGAAAAAAACATTGATGATGGCTAAAAATAGTTCGAATTACATTCAAACCACCTTGTATAATACATGGTTGTATTCAGAAAAAAAAAAAAGCTTTCAGAATCTGTGAAAGAATCATCAGAGCCGTATTTAAAAAACGAAAGTTGATGATGGTTCTACGAAAACGAAACGTCGCATAGAAAAATCGGTATCACCACGTTAAACGTCATCAAAAGTTGCTATAAAAAATATTCTCAGTTTTCCTGTATCTCTAATAATAACGGAGAAAAAAAAAATAAAATAGAGATTCCAAAAATTCACTTTTTTCGATATAACTAAAACACTAAAAAAAATTTTGAAAATTTTCGAAGGCTGTTGGTATGAGCCTCCGAATGCGCAACTTTTTCCTCATTTAACCGACTTCGTATCTCCTACCGTTTCCGAGATTCCCATCATGCTGTGCAACCTTATCTTGGACAGACTGTATATTCATGTTTTGGAACTTTCTGGAATCACAATGGATCCAATTATATAATCACAGTAACTCCAGGAGTTCCCCAAGGATCGAACCTTAGACCATCACCATTCATAATGTTTATAAATGATATTGATGATTTCATCAAACATTCTCGACTTTCATTACACAGAGTGGTGAAAAATGAAAACATTGAATTTGAACCTTGAGAAGGCTCATGGTGTACAGGATGGCTGGAATTCGAGCCTCATCATTGGGATATCGTGAACCGTTAGAGATACAGGGTCGTTTCGAAACTTGGAAAATTCCGAATACTTTCGGAGATATACGAGAAAAACCCAAATTTCCAAAACACCTTCTTCATTTTTTTCTAAAGTTACTTGAAAAAGTTAATCGAAATGAATGACACTTCACATGGCCCCTTTTCCAAATTCGAAATATGGTTCACGCCCAACCAGCTGTTCTGGATCATGGCCAGCACGTACATGTGCCACGACCGGAAATTGTCTGAAGATGATACGTTCTTTAAGGGACGAGACGCCACCCACGGAGAGCCTGAGTTCATGGTGGTGGGCAGGATCAGGAATTCGCCCTATTTTGCGAAGGATTTTGATTGTCCTGCTGATTCCGAGATGAACGTTAAGGATAGTGTCGGATTCATTATTGAAATGGGATTTTGTTGTAGCATTGAAAATTTTCCAGCTCATTTCGTGGAAAAAATATACAATTCTACAATGGGGAAGACCACTGAGAGAAGAAATCCGTGCAAACCTTTTCAATCGACGAATCATGATTTACATTTTATGTACAATCAATATTATGAGTTAAAGTTGAAGGGAATCGAATCTATATCGTTTTGAAATCAGCATATTTCATTCGATATTTCAAACAGCCAAATATGATGGTGGAGTCGTGACGTATTAGTCCCGAACTGTAGCTATCTCTCTCGGATACCTCGTCATTCTGCAGTGTTGCAGTGTGATTGGTCAGTTCAAGGACAAAAGGCGTGTTGGGAATAAGACGTCGCACCAGTTACACCAATGAATTGACAAAATTTCAAATGGCGCAGGAATTGTGTGTTTTGAAATGGACATATTCCAATTTATTTTTTTCATCGTCTTAGCATGAATGACTAAATTCAAAATTAATTCGCCGGTAGTTTTTCAGTATATAGTTCACGATGATGTCATTTTAAAAAATCAGTGGTCTTCCCCATTATAACAGTATTATCCAAAGTACGAAATTTCAGCTAATGCAAATTCATTTTGACAGCCCCAATATGCATTCTCTGCATAAAAATCAATTGAAACCAGTTTTGTGATTCACATACAGTAACTGGGAAGTAAACGACTCGGTAAACGAACGTCAAGGACGATTTTGATAGCTTGGCATTATTGTTTCTAAAATTCATCACATTCTCTCGAATTGTAATATTTTTAAGTAAAAGACCTAGGTACTATTCTAGTACTATGTACAATTAGTCAAGGATCATCCTGTATATCTGATTTTTTCGATACGACTTTCACGGGAATTTTTATATATATTCATGTATGGAAACTTTCTGGAATCACAATTGATTCAATTATATAATCACAGTAACTCCTGGACTTCCCCAAGAATCGAACTTTAGACCATCATCATTTATAATGTTTATAAATAATATAGATGATTTACTCAAACATTCTCGACTTCCATTACACAGAGTGGTGAAAAATGAATACCTTGTATTTGAACCTTGAGAAGGCTCAAGATGTACAGGGTGACTGGAATTCGAGCCCCATCATGGGATATCGTGAACCGTAAGAGATACAGGATCGTTTCGAAACTTTTGAAAATTCCGAATACTTCCGGAGATATACGAGAGGAGACTATATTACCAAAAATCTTCCTGATTTTCTTCTAAAGTTACTTGAAAAAATTAATCGAAAATATGACACTTCACATGGCCCGTTTTCCAAATTCGAAATCTGGTTCACGCCCAACCAGCTGTTCTGGATCATGGCCAGCACGTACATGTGCCACGACCGGAAATTGTCTGAAGATGATACGTTCTTTAAGGGACGAGACGCCACCCACGGAGAGCCTGAGTTCAGGGTGATGTGGAGAATCAGGAATTCGCCCTATTTTGAGGATGATTCCGATTGTCTTGCTGATTCCTAGATGGACGTCAAGGATAAGTGTAGGGTTTATTATTGAGAAATGGTATTTTGGTGTAGCATCGAAAATATTCCAGCTTATTTCGTGGAAAAAATTATGAAACTCCATCCTGTATATCTGGTTCTTTTTGATCAATTTTTATATTTATCTATATATTCAAACTTTCTGGAATCAAAATGAATTCAATTCTGATTACAGTCCCTCCAAGAGTTCCTCAAGGATCTAACCTTAGGCCATCATTATTCATGATGTTTATAAATGAAATTTGTCTATCTGTTTTTCACTTTCTGACTATACCACGATATGAAAACTCTGTAAACAATTCAGATTATACGTTTTTTATTGGTTTTCGAAATTAATGTATATCTCGAGAACGGTATCAGATTGGTATAGGAAATTAACAAGGGAACTTGATAGGTAATTGATGTAGACTTAGGGAATGCAATACATATATGAAGGTCCATTGGAGAAACTTGACTTCTAGTCACTTTTCTTAATCATAAAATATCTTGATTTCTTAACCACGCTGTATGCGATGATGAGGATTTTCATGAATGATCTGGAGCTATTAGGGTTGACTCTTTCGTCCCCTTGATATCAGCTTCTGAGGGTTTCATCTTTATTGAGAAAAACGAGTACAATTTTTGAAATACTCGATTTGATTAGTGGTACAACAGTGTAGAATTGACTAAGTAGTTTTTTCCGAGAATTTGCCCTCGAATATTCCGGTGACATACTTCAACTTCCTCGCTTTACTAATCCAAGATTTATTATCTATCATTGCTTGAAGCAAATACCTATGCAATTAATGTCTCAATCAAACGAATATAATATATAGCTAGCAAGGTGTTGCTCAATTTGAATTAAGTAATTATTCATAAACTATGTGTGGGTCGACGATTTAAGATAAATCTATTGAAAAATAATCCATAATTCATTATACTTGTCATTATAACACTGATTTTGGTAAACGTGTTCATACCAAATATAGTGATTTCTAGTAAGTATGCATCTACCGCAATATTCTCATAATATTAACTCGTGAACGACGGTATGAGACCCATTAGTTTCTACAACACAACGTGATTCTTGTAGTGTTAACACTTGTTATGTAACCTAGAAGAAACCACTGAATGAGGAAAAAAATGTCAAACACGTCTTAGATAATGGGTTTGAAACAATTAATTTATTATGTCTATACAAGGATGTCTTTGCACTAGCAAGAGTAGTAAGTGTGAAAACACAATAAAAGCGGCTCTATGTTTAGCTACAAAGCAGGAGTTTTGAGAAATGGCTGAAGAAATGTCGTTGGAATTCTGCAGACAGCCGGATGAGATTGAACGTGAAATATCGACAACT